CTTCTTCTACTGTACAGCTGCAGTATTTTCGAAGTAGGCGAAGGTGCCTGGCAGTCGACGACAAACGCCCATCTAAAGTTGCCAGACGCATTGATTTCATAGTAAACCGAGTGGTCATGTAAAAGTGCTGGACATTACACAGGTCACAAAAATGACGAGCTTTCTCCCCCTCCTCAACATGTTTTGAGTCTGATTCAGGAGGCGTATCTTCCACTTATCTAACTTGTCCATTTTACTGTAACGCTGATAGACCGTCCAGAATCAACTGTTGACGGCGACTGAACTAAGACGCCCCTTCGCCTGCCAAGCCGTGGTGGCATTGTGATATTAATGGAGAGCAACAGATAACGTGATTCCCACTATCGAACTGCGACCGCCTTTTAAAGTTAAGCTCGTTGTCTCGCCAGCCGAAAATGATCGGGGCAGTGATTTTGTACACATCTGTTATTACTATATTGCGCTGTCCGATCTATCAGTTATGTACAATCCCCATGCCTAAGTTTCGTTTGTGCATATGGTTGCTGGAGCTAGTTAAATGAATATCGAATCGAACTATGACTGCTGCTTTTAGTATTGATTGTTTATGAACGATAGCGGCGACGGCGCTGCTGTACTTTAGCCCGCTGTAAACTTTCGTAGCGGGACCGTTAGCGGCGGCGGATCACCGCGAAGGATAAGGCACTTCTATGCCGCTGGCGCTGCGATGGCTGCTGAACACCAACAGACACATGTAATACATTACATGTGTGTTCATCGAGAGGTGATTTAGCGGTAGCAAATAGCGGAGATGAGCGACGTCGCAATACTGAAAGTTGGTGGCGCTGCGGACGTGTGCATTGGCAATAGCAAACATTTCCCTGACGGACTGTAAGGGCTTAACGAGGCCGCTGATGAAAATTTTATAGTTAAACTATCTTTCGTAGATATAGCATTGCTTGAGGAGTCTGTGTTGTACTCTTGCGGAGATCGAAACTAACTGAAAACTATAACCAGCACGTCCGGTAGCTCTTTGTGGCTCTCTGACGATGGGCGGGCTGGTTGTAGTAGTCTAGATGGCACTGGAACCAGCAAAGTGTAAAACTTCTAATAATAGTGATAATATGATGATCGGAAAAAGAATGGTATCAAGACGGTAACGGCACCAGCTAGTTCCACCTGACTGATAGATGGTGCTGCGAACGGAACGATGCTAATAGAAGCCGTCACGCGGACAAATATAATAAAGTGAATTAGGCTATATTTAGAACCGTAGTTGTCAAGTTTATTATTATTATTATAAAATACATATACGGATACAATGTAGCTATCACGAAAGAAGCCACTAGGCAAATGCGGTATTGTAAATAACGAGGCTACATTAAGCGTCGTAATAGGATCAAAAGCAAGAGCTTTTCTTCTTGTGCTACCAATTTGTGTGCGTGAAATAACGGTGCAGTTATGTAAATGCTTGCCTGTTCACCTGCTGTCTATTATTGCCTGTTGACTACACTGTTATAACTGTCGGTCTGTCGACGGTGTTTGCTGCAACGCCTATGAATAACAATTCAGTGCGTCGCCTCGGGTCATACGTTGCATTATCGTATAGTTCACCGGAAAACTTTTGTCTCATCACCGCATCGTAAACTATCATACTGTAGAATACATAAAATATCCACGAATATGTCATCGTTAGTAAATAGACTAAACATAGTAAACTTACGATACAGTATAATATAGATACGACTGTTTATCTTTTAGGCACAATTTCAATATTGCCTTTTGTAATGTCATTTAAGTAGTAATGATACTAGTGGCCTAATTCTGCATTTTTCGACCAATAGAAAAATCGAAAATATATGCGTATTAACTACTCTTCCAAAATATCCGTTATATAGCGTCAGAGAGGCTAATCACTGTGTCTATCAGTAAAAACGCTTTCGTATGGGGCTAGCCACATGATCCGTCGCAGTATTAAGATGTAATTATAACTCTCACACACACACACACATACATATGTCCATGTATATCAGTGTACTAGCTAAACCTTCGTATCAATAACTTTCTCTCCGTATTTAACTAACTGCTAAGTGGTTAACGTCCCGCGGTACTGTTTTTTGATGCTATGTCTGATCGAATCTTCTAGTAGGGCGCCGGGGGGAAGAATGTTGGAAGAACAAGTAGGTTCTAAAGTCAGACCGCACTACACCAGGTCGGCTTACGACACGTCAACGTTTCAGTTCACCCGATATTATATAGTAACATCTCTAATATGATCATTTAACCTAGGTACGTTTTCTATGGACGTAATTGTTTACGTAGGGTGTCTTTAGTTTTTTTCTTTTTCGGCGTTTGATTTTGGCTTGTGACAGGTAGTTTGGCCAATTAACCCATTTCAGTTCAATACGTAAATATTGGGAAAATTTAACGATCAAGCAGGACTGTAACGGTAGCGTTGCGCCAAAATGGGCCAAAGTAAAATAGCTGCAGGGATTCGCATTTGCCTGAACCTACTACTCTGTGTCTTGCAACGAGGATACGTTTTGTGGGAAAAGGCTTACATAAGCCGCAGCTGGCTGGCTGGCTGGCTGACTGGAATCGGTCTCGCACGGAACCGAACAATCTCAAGTCAACATTAAGCGTTGGCAAAGCGTTACAACGCACCAGACGATTACAATTGAACAACGGTAGGCACCTGGAGCCTCACAAACGATCGTTCTTTGCAAGCAGTTCTACTTATGTTTACTTAATTTCTGATATCCATCCAAGCAAATATAGATAAATTCACGTATATTAGCTAACTTCCTGATAACACCTTTATACGTACCTACCAAGTGAACAGTATATGAAAAATCGAATTTCGTCTAGTCTCACCGTTTCCGTTACATAGGCTCACCGTCGAAAGAGTCCGTACGAAGTGTTTTTTTTACTTTGCGTCTTCGGATACTATTGGAGACACTGTAGCGTATGAATGGTTGTACAACTTACGCAAACACATGTCTATTCGAGTGAGCTGTCGGACTGGGCGTATGGACCTCGATGCCTGAAGTTCATCTGTCAACTAACATCCAATGAAGCATCGTTAGTGAAACTTAACGCTTCATCCCGCAAAAGCGGGACGTGCTTATGAGGCGCTTCCCCAAAACGTCTAGCTATAGTTTCTTGACTTCCTCTGGACAAAAACAGGTTTACGCGTATTCTGAACGCTAAAGAAACAGCAAATTTTCGGATCGGCCTTTTGAAGCCAGGCTCATGTTCGACAATTCGCTAAATCTAACATATCAGTACGTGGTTGCGGTGTTGTTTTTTGGCCGATAGGATAAGGGCTCTGTCTATGTCGACATCAAAATGAAATGATAGTTAGCGTGACAAAATATTTTCGAGATAATAACTATTATTATTAGTGTAATTATTCTAATTTTTCAAGTGATAAGTGTCTGATGGCGCCGCTAAGTTGTCCCATCCTTAGGTTGACCTGAGTTTTTGTAGTCGTTTTCCATTAAGCACGATTTTCTAATAGGACCTAGCATGGGGCCCACTTTACCGACTGATTTTTTACTTTTCGCGAAACTTCCATGATATATAAACCCATGCAGAACTTGTAAGCGTGGTCTTACTGAGAGTACAGTTACTATTCCACCTTTTCGAGCTTAAATCTAGCTATCCATCACCTAATTTTTCACTGTCGGACACACGTGCTCTGCATAGTCACCGCGTAAATCGATATTTCTTATCTATTCTACTGGTAATCACAAGGGTACTTTACAGAGGCATTACGACCGGGTCTCTGTACGGTGTCACTCTATATCTAAAATTGGCCGCTGATTGATATTCGATAATTTTTGCGAAATGTTTTAATGTATTTTTACACCACTCACGTCCGGGCTACTTGAGAAGGATTCGGGTGCCAATCCGTTATTTTTCGGTGACACGCTTGTCTCTAGCACAGTCTTTTTTATACCCGTAAGTAATATATGCGATTTTTTAAATGTCCATAAAATTTATGGTCAACTGCGATATAGTACCGCGATTAGTACACGAACGATGCCAATTGGAATCGCTTTTACCAAGCTGCAGTACAATATCTGTATACTTACATGATCTGAGCTAACGATTTTTTTTTATTTCGCGATCATTACTTATATTTAAACTTAAATTAAATTAAAATAAAAAAAAAGCCTGCTGTTAATCATACTGCTGATATTGGGCGGACTCGTTTCAAAAATAAAAAATAGCAATGGCGGATAAAACGCTTAGACGATGACCGGTTGATGGACCACCGAACTGCTAGGGACCATATATTCGTCGTTCTAGACCTCAATTAATTTTCTCCAATTTGGAGTTTATTTGGATCAGACTAGTTTGGCGTAAAAGTTCGGAAACCTTCAACACTACCCTTACGAACAATTCGCACAGGTTGATGGAAATCTCTTTACTTGGTTTTGCGACATAAATAAGTTGATAGGGACGTACCGACTGAACATACATATCCTTTGTTTCGACTTTCGGTGCACGGGTTCCTGCAGGAAAGCAGGTGTCCACGAGCTTTACGATATATATATATTGGTAATTCGAAGTTTTGAACAACAGAAAGCGTGATCAAGTAAGTTTGATTTGAATGTTTGATGTGGCGATAATTCGACAAGACTGGGTGCGCCAGTATCGCTTAACTTATAGTTACTAAGAAAAAGTTATTCGTTCATTAGCAGGAAGAGTTTCTGTAAATTGTGTATACCAGTATAGACTCTGGTTGGCGCCGTGGTCAAGGCGAACAGCAGTAAGCTCATCTGTCGGAAATGCCGCGCTCGGCACATACGAGAAATGCGGCTCATTTACATGTAGCTTATGATAAGAGATATCAACTCAGTTTAAGTAAACTATTACATCTATATAAACCATTTCCATGTAAAACTCTGCAGAGCCAGATCTAACAGAGACTACCGCAGGGATCAATACTATTATTATAATATTATTTTTATATAACTGTCATTGTTTAAAAGGATAATAAAGATATATGCGAGACAAACGTTTATGTACGACTAAGTCTCTTTATTTTTACACATTTAAATATGATTTTGCCGGCTCGCTGACATTTTTCATTCGATTGCAGTCACTCTCGATCCATCGACCATAAAATCTGCGACTGAAGAAAACAGTCTCGAATCCATCTTGTGTAGCGAAGCGTTATGGAATCAGCGATAACGAAGCATCATTCTGAAAACAAAGAAAGGGAAAATATTGACAAAATCCAACGAACCGTAAAAGATTAGAAATCGTTGGGACGAAATGTTCTGATACTATCCAGACGCTCAGTGAATGAGCAACAGTAGCGTCAGCCATTGGTAGAGGCAGCCTTGACCCCTGGCTGCCCTGGCGTCTGCGTACCTTTTTCGCATTGGCATTCGGATTGATGATGTCGGATCTTAGTCCGACATTGTATTTGTGATTGTTGATCAAACTGCAAGTCGATGAATGCGGCAGCCACATAGAAATAACTGACAAAAAGCTCTAGTCAGACGAGTGCGGACGACAATGAGAAACAGTTATCCTAGCGGGCATTTCCGTTTTGAACAACGACAGGACACAAACGCCAAATACAGATTAACATTTATTGCCGGCAGCGATTCAAAACTCGTTAACTTTAAATCGACTTTTAACTTAGGCAATGATTTCGGTGAATTAACAAAGTAACTACTCTAAGGCTATGTGTAGCCGACTAGAAAATCGTATGACGCGTTTTAGACAATGTTTTCTATATACAGACCTCTATAAAGCTAAACAGCATTTGCACTGACTGCGCCGGCTTACGCAACGGTCGCACACGTAACACCTATCTACAAAAGCGTCTAATGTTAGACAATGACATTGTCAACTTACCGAACGTAAACATTGTCTTTGCGTTTAGTTTTTATTAGGACTAAAATGTTTCCAACTGACACATGAGACGTGATACCTGTTTATCAGACTTCATTATTGTCGCTAATGAAGCGTCTAATGATAGGAGAGTATGTGTTTTATGGACCGGGTTGTATGCATTTACTATTTCTCTAATGCCCAATATTTGTGATAATCAAAGACTTACTTTCCTGTACAAAGAAAACGTCTAAACGCATCTGTGCCAACGAAGTGACATGTCGAATACTCATATGTTGCTGATCGGACAGAAGCGATTGTGTGACCAATCACCTAGATACCTCCCTCTTTGAGTCGCCGTCCTGGTCTACTCGATTATTTGTGATGGCGAACAATCTCGAGCAGTATATGCGTTAGGGAACAGAAATGAGGAAAAGAACTAACATTGGTTTCGCTTGCTTCCAGGATGCAAAAATAGACTCAGGGAAAACGACGCCTTGGCTGTGAGTAACTCGTCACGTGTGTGAACACAGCTCACCCTCGCAAAATCCGCGGTCATGTCTTTGCTTTCGTCACCAAGTTCTAACTGGTCGCTGCCATCTAGCCGGTATTCAGCCGGCGGCGCTTCAGCTACTGGCAGTTCCACGCTGTCTGCTCTGAGCAGTGGCATATCGCCCACAACGACAACTTCGATCGGATTACGTAGCAAGCCACCTCGATCATCTTTGGCGACGCCAACATCGTATTTCTCGAGCTCAAGCTCAATTGACCTACAATCGCCCACCCGTCGCAAAATGTTGCTAGGTCGCGAAGACGCCTTCGAACGCAGCGGACCTGTCCGACTCACGAGCTACCGAGACCTCAGTGAGTCTCGCGTACCGACGTGGTCAAGTCGGCTGGAACGACTTGAACGTTCAGAGCGTCATGAGAGGGCAGATTCCCTGTCGCGGGGAGTACGCCGACTCTCGATCACCGATTTAAGCACTGCCAACTCGCCATGCCTATCAAGTTCCATGATGTCGACGGCATCACCGATGACCTCAGCGAATCTCGACGTCAACAGCAATCTCACCCTGAAGAAGGGTCATGAACGAAGCCTGTCGGGATGTTCGGCGATCAGCGGTGAGGCTTTGGCGCCCTCTCCAGCCAGCTCAGATTCTGGCTTAGGCTCACGATCAATTACGCCTTCGTCGTCATGCCATTACCGAGCGTTGGGTTCATCCAATTCATCCGTCGACTCGATTGATGTTCCAGTTTGTCCACTTGGTCGGCATCGCCTGCGCAGGGTATCGTCCGTATCAGGAGTAAGTGTATATGACTTTTTAAAACCTTTCAAAGCTTTTCACGTTTTCTCCTTGCTGTCCTATTCGTGGCCCTATCGTTCCGTGATACGTTAGGGCTGGAGACCTAAATTATTGCAAGTACCCGAAAATTAGAAAGACATATGTTTCAAGTAGATGCTTCTGCCAGCTGACTTGCTTCTACAATGTTCAACATATCCTTGTTACATTCTCAGTTCTATTTTTGCATGGATTAACTAATAATCATATCTTGATATTTAAAACCAATTACGGGGTAGTTTATTTACTTTCAATGACAAATATCTTGCGCTCTTTCACAAGGTATACCCGTTTATAACCGCACCATCAACGTCTGCGATCGACCAATTATTTACAATATTATCTGCTGTTACTACAGTGACCCGCTACTAATAGTATTGATAGAACCATATCATTATTCGAAGTGCAGTAGCAGCTTGTTATGCAATTAATTGAGACCAGGTTCCTATCTTTGCCCTTTGAGCCACTCGTTACCGCCGCAGGCAGTGCTGATGGTTGTGCCATTTTGGCGTCCGTTGTTAATCACAGCCTTAATCGCTAGTACTATTACGATGAGTTCAACATTCGGCAATAGCAGCAGAAGCATCAATGGCCACATTCCCTCATGAGACTTTACCACGCATCTACCGGGATTACCGCATAGAAAAGCATACTAGGTCGATTCGCCAGCGTCACAGCATAGCCGTTCTGTCTCTCTTCTCGTCAATTACTAGTCGTGCCTCCACCCCCTATCTACCGATCTCTTGCATCTGTGCATATGTATTTATAAGAGGTTGCGTGTGAGGGTGTGTCTACATGTGAGAATATTGCGCAATTTAGTTGTTTTGTTTATACGTCCGAGGAAAATGACCGTGGAGGAAGGCTGAGAACGACCAGAGCCACTGATAGTGGTAATGTTACTGTTTTTGCAGTTGTTGTCGTCGTTGTTGTGACGTGCAATGTAAAAACGTTTGACACTTACGTTTGAGTATGAGCTGCCGCGTAGAATACATGGGATCCGACGTCCCAAGCGGAAGTGGGGAGGCAATCATTTCGTGCGTGCGATTACTGCCACCCCAGGCATACGTGCTCATCGAGATGGCGCTGGCGACGACGTGGGCGTTAACGATGGCAGCGGTCGGCTCCCAGTATTGCACAACGCTGTGGTTCACAATACTAACTTCAAAATGGCATGTCATCACTTCGACAGCTCCTGTCAGACAGACACCGTCATTTGTGCTATACCCTTAACTCGACGCACACATAAAGCACGGCTACAGGCAAAAACGCCCGCTCTCTATAGCGTTCGCGAGTTTGAAAACTGGAAATTATTCGTCGGTCTATGACACATGTCGGAGTTGCATCGTAGTAGCATCCACCAATGGAGATTAGCTATATTCATGTTCCCGGGGCTTCTCATTAAGGGTTATCAGGTTGGACGACTATAGCTACCCTTATACCCTACGTACGCATATTCGCTCATAGGATATGTAATCGGGACGGCAAGAATGAGTTAGTGACGGAGGGTTATGCACAGGCATAAACATGAACATTTTTCTGTAAATTGTGTTTGCATCTATACGTCGCTGTTTGACCTCCAGTATGCCACATGGTATTGTGTTGTGCCTGTATTAATTAGATATTATGTCATTTGTGGCTATTGGGCGGACCAAGGTGAGAGAGTTGGAGATGACGCGGTTCTTTCAATTTAGTGCAAACGCGTAGGACATTTTACCGCGGGTCTAAGATCTTGTACATGTTCGAAGCAATCCTATTACTATAGCGGTTAGGATTTTGACTCTTGGCCCGCGCTGTTGTTTTGGCCAATTTGAAATAACAGCGCGATCGCTAGGCTAAGTCGACTTGAAAGTTGGTTTGGTAACTGTGGTACCCAGTGAGTCTACTATTATATCTCTCCTTAGAAGGTAAAAGATAGGCCTATAGATTAATAGACAAGCCGTTTCTATCACTTTGATTTTTATTTGTGTGTTCGCGAAAAACTGCATACATTTTCAATTCCTGGGACTCTCTATGGCGTATTGAAACGTACGCGGGTCAAGGCGTTTGTTGCATGATTTTTTTTCTTTGTAACTTGTCGAAACATTTCATGATAATAATGCATGTAATAAAATGAGTTCAGGTGCAGTCCACTATATAGTCTTTCTAGTTGATAAGCAAAGCTAGTATTCCGGCGTAGAAACATGATCTCAGTTAACGTGTTTTCCACTAGCACCCCTAACGAGAATATTTCGATAGAAGTTGGTCCTCGGAATTGTCTGGTGTCGCAATGATTCACGATGGCTTGGCGTACATGGCGCCTGGAAAATGTTACGGCATATTGGTAAATGAACACTTGACCAAATGGATTTCGGAGCTACGAAGGACCACCAAGAGCTGTTGCTGCTGCTGCTTCTGCTTTCCGTTATCGGACTGCGATTTTGACAAAAATAGGATCAATAAAACTTTTTCACGCCACATTGACGTCTTTTCCTTCTCAGGGGGCAACGACTAACTCCATGGCGTTTTTCCCGTCTGTCGAAATCGAGGTTGACACAATTGGTGAATTTCGATGTAGAGCTATCCGACAGATGGTATAGAGAACCCTAGCGTACCTTCAACCGGCTGTGATTACACGTTTAGTACTTGAGCGGCTGATGCCGATCTTTACACAGATCTGTGCAGCCGTGTGCAGGCGCTACATTATAGGTGGCATGCTCATAGTATTGCTTTGCTTTTTCGTGATTGCAAATTTCTTAGCCTTTAGCCAAGGCGGTACTTAGCCAGTTGATTTACAACGGACTGCGAGAAGCTCCTGAATAAAAGTCGCTGTTTTTGGCGTCTTGCTCTGTGGATCATTTGATGGTACTATGACGTTATTGACAACAGATGTTTCGGTTCGAGTTCGTATACTACGTACCAGCCAGCTGCTAGCTTGAATAACAGCTTCCGCCGTTTGCATGTTTTCTCAAAATACGCAAAATGTAATGTAATCTTCTAATAGTCGAAATTTTATTTCTCTGCTGCGATGTACGGCCCCCTCAAATCATCGAATACCAACAGGAAACCGACGACAGTGATTCAGACTAACCTTGTAAGAACGGATCGAGTAAGTGGGCGAATTTGTACCAGATGGTGGCGAATGTCGTTCAGTTGTGGTAAATTGTCTTCGAAAAAGTATTTCTTGTTGCCAATGTTAGCATACGTTGTATGAAATTGGCTGTTTAAAAGGTAACATTGTTCGAGGTCTCTACGATGGCTTTATTAGACAAGCCGAGATCAGCACGAGGAACTAAGCACAAATGGGCGAACATCCGGTTAATATTCGATCGCTGTCATGAAAAGATCGCCGCGAAAAAAAGGCGAAAGGAACCGGCGGAAACCCTAAGCAGACGGAAAGCGAAAGGTCGATCGAGTTTCCAAGTTATATAATAAGGTTACGTGACCGCTCCAAGGGTTGTTTCCGCTCGATCGGTTCTGGTGCACTATCAAACCAGTTGACCAAGCGACTACTTTCTAGAAAAACTGAGTAAAAATTGAATTTGAGATTACGGTAGGTAGAGCCTTCTTTTATTAACTACACTTCCCGTGTGGTGCGCGTATGGAACGCTCTGGCTTCCTCGATCAGAAATGCGAATGAAAATACAAGATAGAAATTCATACGCTTCGTTTTCACTGAAAATAAATAGAATCTCGTTGGTGTACGAAGGGCTTAGCCGTCCATTTGAAGTCAAATCATATGACCCAGCTGATTTTAGGTTTTTCTCGTACACAATAGTATCAAAACAGATCACGATCTCGAGGTCAGCAATCGAACGATACGTCAAAATTAATATTTTTTTTTTTATCAAAATATCTTCTTCCCAAAACATCTCTTGGTGACGATGCCGCGGTCTTCCATAATCTACAGAAAGGTACCGTCAGTATGGATGGAACTGTTCTTATCTACTGTGAGTGTTTCTGGGATCTGCATTGAGGAGTTGTATGGGAACGTATTAAATTTAAGTTTTTGCAATATCTACCAGTTGCATAGCTGTAAATTACCATTAAAAGTACTAATGAATCACCATTCGCCGGTGAACCTAGCTGGCTTGTTATAGCCATTTTAAGTGTTCGAGGCTGCACAAATTATATGTCAGATTAAAGTAAGATAGATGCATGTATCGTTGTATATGGTACGTCCTCGACACTAACGATCATAGCATTGCCGCTAATGCGCGTCGCATCGTTATTCCAGGAAAGTTCGTCGGGTATTAGCGTCGGTTCACGAAGCTCCGCACGAAGCCTCGGAAGCGGATCATCGAGCGACACAAATGGAAACGTGGCCTGCCCCGCCGACGTCGTTCGGGGGCTCCGAAATCTGGGAAATTCGTGCTTCATGAACTCTATAATACAGTGTCTTGTGCATACCCAGCTAGCTGACTACTTTCGAGAGACAGGCTACCGTGTGGATATTAATACCAACTCGCCGATGCGAGGTGATCTTGCTCAGGGCAAGTAAATAATCAAACTATTTCTCCAAATAGTCGATCAGAAGATGCCAGTATCAACGGCATTATGGGTCTACTATGCGCTCATGTACATGACCTTAGTGTAATGCAATGTTGAATACATCACAACAGTTCTATTTCACACAAAGTCGGTATGATGGCTGTTGTTGCCAATTTCGTTTGTGTCGGTTACAGCTTTCGCGAGTCTTGTTGTTTCGATATGGAATTCAAAGGAAGGCCCAGCTCTTTCGCCGACGGAGTTCCGATCTCAGATCCAAAAATACGCCCCTCGCTTCATGGGTTACGCACAGCAGGATGCGCAAGAATTCCTGCGTTATCTTCTCCAGGGACTCCATGAAGACATCAACCGGGTTCGAGTACAGCCACGTGGAACCTGCCTTCCCGATATCGACGATACCCTCAGGTAACTAATATTCTACTTCAGAGCTATCTATCTTCACAATTTTCCCAACAGAAAATGTTCGCTGTATTTTACTTGATTCTATTTTCTACTAATGATTTTTTTATTTTACCTATAGTTCGTTCTTGGCAGCTGCTAAGAGCAATTTTCTGAAGTTTGTACAATTTGTAACCAGTAGCAGGAGTTGTACTTATAAGTTGCGTTTCTAACGTGTTCTAATTTCAGTGATCAGGCAAAGGCTGCTGAGTCCTGGCGTCGATACTTACGAATTGACGACTCGCGCATCGTCGACTTGTTTGTCGGCCAATTAAAGTCAACGTTGCAGTGCGCTGTGTGCGGCCACAAGAGCGTCACCTTTGACCCGTTTTGGGACCTTTCATTGCCAATATCCGACTCGCGCTGTTCGGCACATTCGCTGCAGCAGTGTCTCGAGTTGTTTACGAAGGACGAAGTACTCGACGGCGACGAAAAACCGGTCAGTGAAGTAACTGATATCCATTGATTGCGTTCGCTGACGTAGACTCGACGTCTGCATACTGGCTATCGTATTTTTTCAGTCCCGCCACTCAGGATTATTTTTCATAGCGTTACGTTTTAAGAACTCCGCAATAGTAGATAGCATATCACGTTTCCATCTCGACGCAATTTCAGACCTGTGAGGAGTGCAAGAAGCGACAGCGCATGACTAAGCAACTCTCGATATGGAAGTGTCCTAAGATCCTTGTCCTGCACTTAAAGCGCTTCGGTAACTGTGAACGTTACCGCTCCAAGCTCGATACTAATGTCCAGTTTCCTTTAAAAAATCTCGACATCTCGGAGTTCGTTTCCAGTGGTGCGTATGGTTCAACAGTAACTCGATAGATTCGAATTCTCGCATAAGTAAAAACCGAATTCCAATAATGTGTACATGCATCGCCATAAATTCTTGTTGTGTAGCGGTAACCGGAAGAAAATGGAATAGTGTGCTACAGAACAATCTGGAGTTGTTATGCTGGAATGATCTGTGTGACGGTGCCATTTTTCTGATGCGTTGGTGTCCTCAACAGGTGGCGATTCACACAGATCGAAGTATAACCTTATTGCCGTATCGAACCATTCTGGATCAACGCATTCCGGCCACTATACGGCTAGCTGTCTGAACCCTCACAACAGGCAATGGTATTGTTGCAACGATGCCAGGTACGCCTACACGATTTCTGTCGGATTTCTTTTTCGTCTAAATATCTACCTCATTGATTCTCTGGCTCTCTATCACAATTGGATAATTATGAATTTGCATTGTTCGCAAAAGTACACGAACGCCCAGAACGTAGAGGGATCAATCCTATTCAGTTTGTGACTTACTTCTGTCATTATGCACTTTCTTGCAGGGTTTCTGAGATCAACGACAGTTCCGTAGTATCTCCGGAGGCGTATGTGCTCTTCTACGAGTTGGACGGCAGCACATTCAGCCGCCTGTAGATAGATGTATTGTAGATGTAGATGATAAATACGTCCCTTTGGGGCCTCTTCGCTACGCACAGTCTCTTTGCACGTCCGTGCAAGGCCCGCTATCTTCGCCTTCTCGCAATGCAATCAATGAGCTAAATTCGAGCCACATTATCATACGAATGATGTAGCCGCTGCATTTTAACGAACAACAGCTAGTTTCTGTCTAGACAGTGATGTCGGAAGTTACGTTACCGACGCCTTTGAGTAATTAAGCAGAATGCAGCTTCTCCGTTCGTGCATAAAGAACACACATAGACGTGCGGATTAGCAAGTAACAGTCCATGTATCGTCGCTAATGGATGTGACCGATTTGACAGCGCGGGGCGCTTTATACGATACTTACAGCGAGCCTCTGAAATGCAGAGGCAACCAGAGCTGGCGACTGAACTAATCGAGATTCCAGGAGACCTTGTCGCAGAAGGCCTATCATTTGTTGGAAGTGAGATGCTACGATGCTGGCAGCCGTTGAAGAATCTAGTCTGGCGCTTGTGTTCATTCAAAGCAGCTTATCGACGTTTTTAGTATACGAGGAGGCAATAGGAACTACATTGATAGAATGATAATCTATTTACATGTGCTTTTGGGAGCCAGATCCCGAAGCAATGACCCGCAATTAATAGGGATACGGCAGTTACTGGAGTACCTGACGCAGAGCGGCTCAGGAAAGAGAGCGAGATAATACTGTACAGTAAATAAAGTTCTCAAGCAAAATTTGCTAGAAAAAAAAATATAATCTTAGTCAGTTTCACCATGTGCAGACTTTGTTGCCTTGGCTACGTATTATTCCGTCAAATAGGTCTCAGTCATATCCAAATTTCATGGTTTTTTTTACTTTTAATAGAATCTATAATGACTTCAAAATTACCCTATCATATCTGCCTTTTGACAGTAGACAGAAAAAAAACAAAACCTTATATGTTAGAATGCATCCAGTTGAGTAATTATTCTTTAGGTATGGAGAACCACTTTCTTACCGATTTACCCTAAGCAATACTCGTGCAATAAACATCACTGATGATAAAGATGAAAAATATTCTTCTGATACAAAACAGAAATGCTTTTACAGTAATGCGTGCAATTTCAAAGCTGTGTTTGACTCACTATCGAGTTTGATTATTGTTGCCCCTTTCGAAGGACGCCTGAATCTGGGTAAACGATGGGCATGTGACAACTTGATAACATAGCTGCAGATAGAACAAAGACCCTTTCGTTAGACAAAACGATAGATAGACAATATTGGACAGCTAGGAGACAATGAAGAACCGAAGTTAGGAGAGCAAGGAGACAAAAACCGCGCCATAAACTTATATCTAATAACATCAATTGTAAAGGACGCCGACAAATTGCAACTAATATTAATCATAGCAATACATACATACACAAACTATAATAATTATAATTATAAGGATTATTATAACAGTTATTATATAAGGTTATAGGGCATCGTCTTCGATGATGAGATCAGTTGCAATCGACCACCGTAGTAGAAATGGCGGTCACCCTGTCGAATACTGTACATAATTTGTGTTTATATATATATATATATATATATATTGTTTATATATATATATATATATATATATATATATATATATATATTAGATATGTAATAATAATCATGATGAATATGAATTGCAAAATAAGGCACTAATAATAAGGACTTATGAGTCCTGGAAATTCGTCGCGAATCCAGACGTACAGAAGACGTGTTCATGTTGATGATCATGATAACTGAGGTACTAGATAAATAACCTAAGGAATTCTGAAAATAGGTTCTATTGTATAGCAGCAAATGCGCTATTAAGAGGCGAGAGGCAAAGGAAAGGGCCACTTCGACGAGGCCTATAGACGTGTTGAGAATATTCAAGCCGTTGTGAGCATCTGCGACTGAGCGTGCTTCAAGTGCGGGTGCGCACGTTGTCATGTGAGAGGTTCTCTTCGAAAAAGAAGATCAAATAAAGAAGAAGGGTTGGGAAATTAATGATCTTTGCGGGTACGAGGAGAGAAAAGAAATAAAAGAAGCGTGTACTAAGTAAAATAATATAATAAAATTATTGTTAACCTTTAATCTGACACGTCTTTGCTTGTAAGTAATGACATGCTACTGTACACTATTATCATAGATAGGGTAAATTATACATAAAGATTTCATTAGATTTCAATAGATCTAGATCGCTTTAGTAATGCGTCAATCGATAGACATTATAGTCTTCATTCGAAAACGCATTTCTTCAGCAAGTATTTTTGGCAGTTCGATAGCACCTTAACAATAAGATCAGTTAATAGTCAGAAAGAGTTTGCACTTTGTTCACTTACATGTATATGCAAGCTGCTGTATTTAAAAAAATCTGAATATTTTGTTTTCATAATTACTTACCGGTTTTATCACACCTTCCACTTTATTACGTTCATAGCTTCTACAGTAAGCCATATAAGAACCATCGATCAATTAGCGACCGCGACAGGCACAACGATCAACAGTCAAATAGCCTTCTCGTTACTTTATCAATCTGGCAAAAAAAACCGCCGTCAGATCACTAGACATCGCTTTATAGCCACTCCCCAGCTGACACTCTTTCGCAAACGGTGCGCTACCGTACGCATACGGTACGTTCTTAACAGACTCGACTCTACCGCAATACTTTCGCCTATGGTGTCCACTGTGTACTACTGCGCCCCATAAACGGACATTAAAGCATATATGGTATCAAGAAGTAAGACGTGACCCGACATGGATAGTGCCGGCTCGCCAAAAGACCTCACTCTATTTCATGCTGGGTCTGGTCCGCTGGGTGGCGTTGCTTTCATTGCCTTTCAGTTGGGCTAATGCTACTGCTGGGTGCTATCTCCAACGCGTGACTCTCAATCCTGTAAAGGATAGATAATAAAAGGTGACTAGCAAGTCATTTTGCAGTGTACAACTACAACCCTGAAACGAGAGGTGAGCACTTTTGTGGATTTACCGTCGTCGACTTCATTAGCACTTACCACCACCACAAGGTCAACAACCTAGGACTCACCAGGCACTGTCCAGCTGGTAACATTGCGTTAAGGTGTGCAGTACGAGTACAGTAAGACTAAGGTTAGTAGTTATTCATGTTCATGGAAAGCAACCGCGACAGCATTTTTTCCTTCGTTGCTTTGCGGAAAGATTGAGACAACCGAAAAACTAAGAGTTTTTGTTTGGCTCAAAACAGGAAACAGCTAATTATATGTACGAAATGACGTTGTATCGCGCAATTGTAGCGTTTATATGCGTTGGAGTTCTGACGCGAGCTCAAGAGAACTTAGAAAGAACGTGAGAAATCCACAAAGGATAAATGATGTTTCGTTGCCAACAGCACAACAAGCTTCGCAGGAAGAACTGAAATCCTCGGCTACAAACGCGTCTGCAGTGGAGAATCCTGTTGAAACGACTATTACCCAAAGCACTGTCACACAGGCAACGAGTACAGAACAACGCCACGCGGAAGAAGAGTTACAGCTTTAGGGCAATGGACCACCGAAAACCGAACTCGGAATGTTGCAAGTCAGGAGGAAGATTTTACCTTGCAAAGAAATGAAACACCTCCAAGAAATGTGGATCTTACAAATATGAACGAAGAAGTTACAACTCTAGAGATAGAGACAGTAGGTTTAAAACAAAGGTACATCGATATCGAAGATTTCAACGATGTTTCAGGAGAGTAACATTATTTCTACGGACATCAATATACTCCAAGCAAGTACAACCCGTAGAGGGCGTTGGTCAGACCAGGAAGCGACCCCAAGCGGAATACGAACGACAGTGCTCAATACAATTCCTCGGAGGACTCCGGGCTTACCTGCTGCACCGATAGCAAGCACATTAATTGAACGAAATACGTAGCTAACAGGCCATCCTGTCTCCCATGGAATTGACTTTTACCGTCCTCTCCATATTATAGACGGTGAGCAGGCAGCCAAGGAGTAAAAAATAATAGATGACAATAGCAACTGCATCCAATTTGTCCACTAGCTGATACTTGCGACAGCGTCTTTTTTCTAATACTGTTCGACATAAGCGTGTGGCGTATAGAACTAGAACGCTACCACATTTCTACCTTTATAGATCGTCCTCATATTCTATTGAGTAATCCAGGTCTGTTTGGATATTGCCTCTTGCAGTTTGCTTGACCTTTGTTGAATAACAGAATAATTGACTGAAATTTCGTGCATATAACCCAGAATATGCTTTTGAAAATTTCGTGACATCGCACTGCAATAGATTCTTCTTTCGAAATATCTCTTCATGCATTTTTTACTGACTCACTTTAACAATAATTAATAGTAATACTATTAATGATGATGATGAGATACAAAATACAATGTGTGATTGGCTATTAGGAACAGACAGAATATAGAAGAATGGAAGACCAAGATAGTAACTTGAAACGTTTACCATTATAAAACATTTTACATTGTGTAATAAATGGACCTTGCGTACTGATCCGTATTCGCAAGGACAATTTAGTTATTGTTATTAGCATGTTTTCTACATTAGCGAATGGTAATCTGTGGGCTTGACCGCAACTCCAAAAGCTGATCACGGATAAAAGACATTACATAGATGCATGTCTTTACTGCGTCATTTAATTTCAGCAATAATAATGTTCGGCTTACAACATTGAACAGTGTCGCCAACGTTGTGGTCAAGGGCTCATTTCACGGTGCATGGTCGACGGAGAAGAGTGCGAATGCAGCTATACTCGAGTCCGGCTGCACGCGCGTTCTCTCAGATTCGTTCCGGTCAAGGCACGCCGAGTTCGCCACTGCATCGATAAGAGTGGCACCATATTGGGATAAAATTTAACAATATATATATATATATATATACCGATGTTTATTTCTACCCTGTTTATAATAGTCAGCGTCATTTGGGGACCTTCGGAACACTGGAAAGAAAATTATCCGTATTTCGACATCGTGCCGTCCATGTTTTCGCGCAGATATTTTGCGAATGATGCTCATGATTATTTGTTTATCAGATAAATATACAAAAATGATAAAAACATTAAGAAATAATATAAAAATTAAAAATATATAAAATAGAAAAATGGTAAATATGTATGTTTTGCTATATAATAAAATGTATTATATTATCCATTTGTTTAATGAAGGTATAAAGATCGTTGTAAGAGATCACATTTGGGCAATCCATTTTTTTAATTTTAAATAAATTTTAAGCATACTTGTGTATTCCGCGATTGTTTATACTAATGCCGATTTTCGACATATCATATCTTTATGGTATTCTCTGATAATGACTATCTAAATACCAAAGAAGAAAGAATGTCAAAACTCTTGTTTATGTTAATACTGTTATTTAGAGGAAAAATGAAGAAAAGCAGCCTAGCCAAGAGAAAAGATGAACTTTTTCGTTTAAACTTAAGATACAGTACGTCGATACAACTTGCAGCAGCGGTTTATGATAATTTTAGAGCATTTATATTTTTTATTGTTTCTTGTGGCTTTGGGTGGCAAAGGCTGGCCCGACGACAAAACCGTCTTCGCACGCAAATCAATATCGCAAAGCTGTCGTCTTTACGAGAAAAAAAAATAGAATCTAGCAAAATTTCATTTAGCGTTACAGGTAAAACTTGCTTAGATTCATTTAGGGGCAACGTATCGGTTATTCTTTGCGGATCTACAATGAATCCCGTAGATATCTTCGATATGTATTTAGATGTTTACTCTCACTACTATGAGGAGCAAGACTGCTTGACTTGCAGGTGAAGCGTACGAGTGACAAACCAACGTTTGTTTTCTAGTAACTGATTCACCAATAAACGACTATAAGGTTTACTTATTAAAAGAACATAATAAAGGGACACTTCGCTTATAAACCTATAAAGCATTTTTCATTTTATTTGCAGCTAATTTTTTAAAAAGTATCCAAAATTAAGTTTCTACTAGACAAAATTTTTTAATTTCGAATGGAAGCGAAATAGTATTCTAATTTAGATTAAGCGTCTCGAGTTTTACGTTTGAGTATTCGTTAGCACTGAATCAAACGGCTGGTCTATACTAAACAAAGTTATTTCAAAATTTAAACCAGAAATTCGTGTGTTCTTAAGTTTAAGTTTGGCGGGCAGACGCTTTGCCACAGCACTATTGCAAGAGCAATCTTCTAGTTTATCTGTGGCTAAATCTACTCATCATCAATCGACTCGGTCACCGTTATAACGATGGCCTTCAGTTTTTCAACATTTGCTGGTTTGTTTCAAGCATAAACATAGACGTAAAGCTTATTTTTCTCATAACGCCAAAGCAACTAATCAAGGAGCACGAGAAGATTCTGCTACCGGAAATCAGTCGACAGGTGAGGCGAGCACGCAACAATCTGAGTGCAATCCGGTTTTGAATAACTTAGTGGGTAGCGATTAGCTTCAATAAAAGTTGGATCAAATCTAAGGCTCGATTGTATTTTAGGGTTTAGGTACAAGCTCTTTGCTGAATCTTAAGGCTTCTAACTTACACATAACCTAACCTTATATATTGTATAATATTGTAAGCGAACAACCGCACTACATGCCACGTCAAAATGTATGTATTATATAAAAAAAAAAGATGTATTATATCCTAAAAGAAGAACTTTTTTAAGGATAGGTAGTCCAAGCTAAATAAAAGACGGAGTCCGAAAATAGATCGCCTATAGGAAGTTAATTTGATGTTTTTTAGCAAAACACACTGCCTGATTACATTGCATTCCTTAAGGCAGCTGACAACTCTCTAGTTCCGACATTACTAGATTAATGGAATGCCAATAGAACGTAATATAAAATAAACACTGCTCATCTTCATGGACCATGTACATGTACATGCAGCGTAGTTCATACTTAGGCATATTATTACTTTAACTCAAAAGAAAAAATTATGCCTAGTTACAATTTACCGTATATGCCTTCGAAAAATTCCTTGTACGTATTCAGTGCATTTTTGTTTCTTTTTGATAGCTGCTCATCTGACCAAGGCCGTCCTCGAATCAGCTCCCTCTTGATAGCATACTGCTCAGAGATCTGCAATGCTGTAACAAATTGGAATGTAGTAAACCATCGTTTGTTTGTTCTCGGTGCCAACGCGTAAGCCTATTGCGGTATTCGTACCCATGTATACAGCTCTGTGAGTTTACGGTATGCGGTAAGGGTAACAAAGGAAAGGCACGACACCTTATAGGAGCACTAGAAAAATGAGATGGTGCAAACTGAATGACCTCCACACGGCCATCATAAAATCCACCAAGCATTCGTCCCTTCAAGAATGAATACCAACACAACGACTCAACGGAGCAGCCCCTTTAAAGCCACAGAGAGGTAGATATGAAGTACGTGTGAAGCATAAAGTTTTGCTTATAGCTTGTTAGTCATTTTTGCCACATAAAGATGTTCTTAGAACGTTTGAAGTAAATCCTATAAGAGACAGATTTGAATAGTTTCGGCTCACTTCATTACTTTTAGTTATTGCGAAACAGAATAGTAGCGCTTATCTTTTATGCTTCGTTACAATTATCGTTCGTTAAGAATGAGAACGACGAGCAATCACCACCATTGAACCTATTTTTTAACGCTTTTGACGCCCACTTGGCTAATAACAGCACCCAGTTCTCATCAGACCTATAAGGGGAACTAACATTAATTTCATCAAACACTGTATCGGTCGCGAACTACGAATTCAAGGGCCGTGCGAGTCCAAACGGTACACTTTTCGTCCAAAAACGCAAGTGGAGAAACATTTCCAAAGGGGTCATCATATGCTGACTAAACAAGTTTTGCTATTGTGACGTGCGCCAACGTAATCGGAAGCAGGCAAGTGTCAAGTATAAGGGTGTAAAAAGTCATTGAGATCAACGACTGTTATAAGGATGCTGCACAAACAAAAAGCTTTCTTGACAACTGTGGTGATCTTTGTTTTGACGTACGGCCCTTCGACCGCATTAATTAACGGTCAAGAAATAGCCAGCGATCAGGAATATTCGACAACCGATGGAAAAGGCGATGGAACATTAAATGCGATGAAAGCTGGACCAACATCAGAGCCAAAAAGTAGGTCGATTACGCCATGTGCAGTATGTTTCTATATCGTGCGTGGAGCATGCAACAATCCAAATTGCCTCGGAACACTTAGTGCGCCGACCCTCTAAACGTACCAGCAAATGTAATTGCTTATCGAATAACTAGCATAACTGTAGCATAACTAGCGTTAGTTCTTCGGCAGTCTCACAAATCAACTCACGAGAAGATGCCAAATTCTAAATTATTACAAATATATTGCAGATTAAAATAGCTTTTTATTGAATTCTTAATTTAGAGCTGAACCTATAGTAGGTTGTTGAAACAACGGTCACAAAAAATAAGACATGTACCTTTAGGCATGGGTAGAGTAATAGTCAATAGTTTTTCCTTAGTATAATAAGACAATGTTGAATGTAGGGAAAAATCTTGGCTACTTAAACTGAAATTAATTTCATATAGAAAAATTCATTCAATTCGGGTCAAGTCATGGTTTGTATTCTTACATTTCGTTATTGTTTTTTATTGCAATTGCCCAGCTCGGCCATGCAATTCCTGTGAGATGGAGAAATGTCGCCTTCACTGCAAAGGAACATGCCGACATTGCCAATACCACTTTTGCCATGTGAATGACGGTAAATTAGACATACTCAATTACTGTAGTATCAGATATTCTGCTTATTCTTCTATTACTAGAAGGTAGATTATCGCACGCAGAAAACTAAATAGGAACTTGACCGATGCCAGATGATTGGTTACAAGACTTGCTCGACTATGTGAATCCAACTGACCACCGTTTGTCTGCTTTAAGAATTAGGCCGTTGAGCAAATATTCTGTTTGTTTGTCACTGCTATTTTACTTAGGACATCGTTAGCAAATACATTTTTTTAGCCTACATAAACCACCTTTTTTTTGAAATACGAACAACGCATTTAGTTAGTGGCGCTAAGTTTAAGTCAGAAAAGCCTACTAGTTGATTTCCACAGAAAGCACAAACGGTAAGTACTAACTTTCTTCTTTTTTAAGCCTATACAGCATGTGACCTAAACAAGGAGAGTTATTGCTCTTCGAAGTTGAGTCAGAGCTTTGAGAGGGCCAAGTCGGGGTAAACGGACTAAATTTATTTAGAGCCGTAGAAATTAATAGCCTGTTTTAAGTTCAATATCACAGTAATCTCAATGTACTGTATCCCTCAATGTGCTTTGCCACATCTTTGTAGAGCGAAAAGCAAATTTTTACTGGTCTTAATAGATCTTCGACTCTAGTTTGTTTTCACGTCAATCAAGTTTAATCTTTATTGCGGTGCCTTAATTAGTTTAAATGTATAAGTAGATTTACGCAATTAGTTGTACCGACAATTCTGCGCCTACTTGTTTAGGTGAATATAGCTGTAAATGCCTTCGCAATCGTCCAGCCGGAGTTGCTGCACACGTCGATGAAGTCGAAGAAAGTGGACGACGACGACGTTCGGTCCGAATGCGTCGCGTAATGCGGGTATCTCATTATCTCCCGCCACGGAGAGGAAGGAGAGTGCGTAATTGCCACAAGCAATGACATCATCACCTGACATTTTATCGAACTGATGGGTCGTCGCGAAGAAGACATATAATACCTAAAGAACACCGTTGGCTGAAAAAACTGAGAAGCTGAAAAAACTAAGTGTGGGAGGTTGCTCTATTACACAAAGTAAAGAGAACAGTGTAATATTAATAATAAAGGTACCGTTTATATACAAATATAGTTTGCCTTAATGCAACTAACAGTATATGATTCAGAGATGTAGTAAAGAGCATATTTAGACTTACAAACTTCCCGAAGCTGTTTGATTCAGCGTTGCAATGACGTGCCTTTGTTATCTTTTTTTTTTACTCTTTCGTGATATCTCGTAATAATCAGATCGTAATAATCGTAAAATAATCAGATGATATTGTTTTTTTTACTAATTCCGAATTTTAACATACACATCTTAAGCCACTGAAAAATTTAGGCAAATAGGCGATATTAAGAAATCGATATTTACTGAAAACCTCTAATTGTATCTTAGTGAACCACTGTACCCAATTTGAATCGAACATTACTTAAGATTCCAATTTTGGGCGTATAAGAGCTAAACAACTTCATTACTTAATTGATTTTACAAATTTTTGTCTAGATGCCCATTCGACAGAATTAACGCGATTGGAAATATTTGCCCACGCTTTTTTACATATAGTGCTTAGAGTAGCCCTATCATTCGTACAGTATAAGAACGTTGTTTCTTGTAGCATTATACAATGTATTAAAAACTTGTGCAACCAATTCCATCTGTTTACTAAGTGAATCATAATCGATATCGCGACACCCTATATATGAAGCAATACAATGACGAATAATCGAGCCACGACACGCGCTGTAACTACGCATTTTATTTTAACCTGGATCTTTGCGAACGTTCACACTGAGGATTCACGGGCCGTAGTGATTTATGGTGGCCGTCACAAATTTCGGATTCCTTTTTATCAAAACTCAACTATGCTAAACGTATAGCAAGTCTCAAAGAGGTAATCACCTATGTCTTGAGTTTTACATCTGGTATCGATGTTTGGCATTCAATCAGAACGAAGTCGGTCTACGCCCGGATCCAAACCTAGACAACAACGTGTCCCTACGATTATCATAACAAGGCTATAACAAGCTATAACAAGGACACGCATCGACGATGTCCTTATGGTCTACGAAGTTGAACGACAGCATAATAGTATAAATTGATAAGCATAATAATATGAAGAATAAATGTTGTTCGTTCCTGTTATTTTGGGAGCGGAAACATACTACGCATATCCTTCAGGCAGGTGTACGTCAAGCTTTCAATTTTCAGAGAGAATTTATCAAGGAACTGTATATGGACAGCAAATGAAGCGCGTGTTCTAGACAAACTGAATAAATTACGAATTTTTTTGTCTTGAATTTTACGTCCAGTATTGCCGTTTACCGAATACATTTTATAGGTTGTAAGGGTGCTCTTCGAATTCATGTGTTTGAAGGAATTCGGTTTCCTGAATACGTTTGATATAATTTCATAGATTTTTCGATATGCTTGTCAATGATCGTTAATGGCTACACCACTAAACGCTGCCAATGCGCATAGGTGCCTAGCGCTTCAAGCGTAGTAAAATAATTTAGCGTTGAATATATTTGAAACTCGAATGAAAACAGAAAGGACCTGTAGCAACAACTAACTTCGATAATTTATCTTACGACAAAAACATTTCAATAAACTCTTTGCTGTTTGAAATGTGTGTCTTTTGAGATCCCCTTCATCTTCTGCCTACTGGCATACGAAGAACTAGGTGGCTCTTAATTAACCCTAACTTGAACTTCCCTCACATATATTGAAAACCGACTGCAGGATGTCTGGTCCAAATTTGAAAACTAGGAATTAGATATGTATTTCAGCTGTATTAATTGCTTAGAGAGACAATGCGGGTTTGTAGTAGAAATGATGGCAGCCCCACGCTACCAATAATTCAAGCAAAGTCTCCTTATAATCTATAAGGTGGTGTTTCGAAATGTCGGACACATTTACACAACTTAATTATATCTAAGATGATCTATATGACACAGGGAATCATATGAATCTATGCCGTTATTGTATCATTTGTGGTACTTTTAATATAGCTAGTTAGCTAATTTTTCAACTGCGTATGGACGAGAGTCACTTTATTAGTACTGAGTGAGCCAAAAAGTCAAAACAGGAAGCCCAAACTGACTTTTGATTTACCCTATCGGTTAGTTAAGCAGTTTGTCACACGTGGAAAAAGCCTCGGCTTACTTTACTTTTCTGAACTAAGTGAGGGTTATTCCATGAACTGCATAAAACAGTATATGATATTCTAATACATGTATAAATGAAATAGGCACCTATGAATATTAGCAAACTGACAATTAAACGATGGAATAATCAAACTGTTCAAAACACGCAAAAAGATATTGGCCTAATAGACAGATATTTAGTTCAACCGATTCTCATCCTATTTTAAATCAAAATAATAGCAACATAGGGCGACATCCCAAAGCTATGCATTCTAGAACTTCCCAATAGAAGCCCCTCAATTACCATAAACGAATTCAGCATAATCTATTTGTTTTATTTGACATTTTCGGGCCTTAACATTCCATTTACAGCGTCCACAGTGGTCTGTGAGGCGTATGCTACGATTTGTCATATTAGAGAGAATAGCCAAGCTAATCAGTACACCAGTGTGCTGTGGTGATATAACAATGACAGCCAAACAACATAACCCATTGAGGCAGAGCGTAATCTGGACAGCAAACACCTTTCTCCCTGCGTACGTTGCCATGGTGACTACGAACATGCAGCTATCATGCGAGTGGTTCGAACTTTATAATTGGTTACCATGGCGTATGTTTTCATAAGCCTGTTAGAGACATGTCAATAAAATCTAGCAAAAGGCAACCCTGTTAGATTTTTCAGCGGAGGCAAATGCTTAACGTTATATGAAAAATATAACTTCCTGCTTAAACAGTGGGAAAGCCGGAAGCGTTAAACAAGATAGGTGTATATTACATTGGCCTATTTAATCGAACAGAGGCCCTCACCGTAGTGAAGTTTCGGTGTGATATCGTATGCCGGTCAGATAACGAATAACAGCACACGGCATAGATAGATAGGGTAAGCACATTCAGCTAACACGAACAACAATTGAAAGACAGCGCGTTGATAATTGACGCAGAAGATGATGTTCTAGAATATTGCGTGGAGTTACGTTATAGTTTCGTTAAATCTATTTATCTATGAAGTCGTTTCTTTTCAGTGACACAAGTCCATCGTGCTTCGGCTCAACGTTATAAAGTATCCAATATAAGAGTGATAATCCAATTTGAAAGAAATGTATCATCGTTACCTCAAAACACCGAATTATAATATCATAATGCAGGTATAACAGGGCATAATTAAATCATGCTATCTCCTAGTTAACGACGCACTCGAACTCATTAATTAATGAGTAATATATAGTTTGAGTCAGCAAATGAGCGCTCGAAGTTCAAGGTTAATAGTATTTGTTTCATACACGCGAGATCTGAATACGTAACGATCGAACATTTGAATTCATGCGTTTTTAATATGCAATATTAGAAAGGGTAGTCTATTAATGGCAACACTGACCATTTCAGATCTTTCCTCGGACACGCAGGGATACACGGTATGCGATAGGTTCGTATTTACGGCGTTTTGAATGCGTTGTATCATAATAAATATTCAAGTAAGCATGTATAATATCAATTTATATTTTCTACTGTTCGTAACAGAAAATCTTACCGTCTACAAGATCAACGAACGAAGAAACGAGGTATACTGGGCATGCGAACAACACTTTCATGTTTACGATCAAGCGGACTGATTCTTAATGTGAATATTGCAGTTCTCGCGTGGTGTCTTCCACACTGTATTCCCCATTATTTTCCAAGCAAAATGATTGGCCCAAACTTCTGGATCACGCACTTACTTACAAAAAAATGAACGTTTTTTTTATAAACTTGAAAGATCGTAAAAACAGTCTTTTTAATGAATACCTTTTTAAAAGGGTACACGATGCTAAACCTCAAGTAGAAGTGAAGAAGTTTAATTGTAGAATTTGGGATTACTGAGCTAACTAAGGGTTTGGTTTATGGAAAGTGTTTTCTTCTACATTCGTAAACAATCACTGCTTGCGCTCGTAGGCCAAGACTTTCTGTTCTGAAAACTTTCAGCAGTCTATTTCTTACCAGCCTTTTCCTTGGCACTACTACCCTCGATGGTTCCTAAAACGTATCAACATTATTTTTATGCTCCACTTTATTTTCCTACATCAATAATAACGGCTATTTTCGAGCCAGTGAGAAACAACAGTTTAAAATACGTAACATTACTGCCTTCACTGAAGATCTGGCTAACCAGTATACCTATTCTTACCTTCTGTATCTGAACTGACATTGTATTGCTTCCTCAGAAACTACCGAGCCCCCGACCGCTTTATTTTGATGACTGTACTTGCAAATATATTCACATGGCTTTGTTACGTCAGACACTGGTGAAAATAGTGATCCATGAACGCGAGCTTGGCAGTATAAAAATGGTCCCATCTAGACTAAATTCACTACGCTTTACATCAACGTATATCCACTAAAAGGGTCAAGAATATCTAAAGTCCCAAATACTTTTTGAAAGGCTTGTTTAGTTGTTTGTGCTTCATTGTAGTGCTCCAAAGTGAAATTTTCAGAGCGCGTTGTTCATACTCCGCTAATTACAATACATAAAATGAGCTGGGCAGAGTCGGAGAGATTCGTGCTTTATGCAGCCTAAACTAAATAAACTAAAAGCACCTTGCTGACTCTGAAATGTATTATTCAGCGACGTCAAATGAAAGTTATTTTTTTATTCTATCTACAGCTTGCAATAATCACTGCATGTATTTTGTGAAAACTTTATAAATATTGACACGACTTTCAAAAGCACATTTATGTTGTGCTTTCCATGTATATATATACATAGTTTGTTTGGTTCATTAAGTCCTCTCTGAGTTAGGTCATTGCTTATTTATAACTGACATTACTGTAGATTTCACTTGAAATTGCAGAGTTCAGAGGCTTTGAATTACGCACCATTGGAACGTGTATCGTATTTCTCATCTGCATGTAATTCATATTCCGTTAAAACTGAATTAATTTAAACCTTATAGTAGCTAATATAAAATATTTTTATTATTATTTGAGTCGCCGCATTTGATTAGTCTTTAAGGATGAGATATTGGAGATGCTGACTGCCTTTATCTTGATGAGTTCTTTTCAAAAGGATAAGTCGTACATGTAATTATAACTTTTTTATTTATGTATTACTTTGATTGATATATTACTATCTAAATGCTTGTTCTGGATCGCCGTTATATGATGGTGCATCTTCCTATATAACACCAGTCCTAGAATTTTCGTCTCTTCTTTTTAGAAACGTTTAGAGGCACCTGTTTTGTCTACATCTATGTGTTTTATTGTTTTGTTCCAACGTGAAGTTCAATGAAATCAGGACAGATGGTATGAACAAAAGTGGGCAAAATATTCCAAATAAAACTCCGTTAGTTTGACTTATGAAGCTTTATTCGGTCTTCAACATTTTTAAATTACTTAAAAAAACCTTACGTTGTATGGTAATATAAAATGTAAGTAATCTTCAATTACTCCTTCTGAAAGAAAAGAGAAACTTCTGTTAGTCAACGAATAAAAAATGCTTGCTCCTAAAAATAGCTTTTTAAAAAAAACGAACCTTTTCTGCAGAATTGCCAAACAATGACGAGAATGACAAATCTGAAGGCATGTACTCCGACAGTTTGGGAAACTGAATCTTGTTCAAAGCAGCATCCAGCTCGTAGCCTAAAATACAGATCGTAAATAATAAATAAAAGTTGTTGCTACTATCTTCTGTTGCAGTGACACGATTTGCAGATGAAACAAATCTGTTAGGTAAACCAATGTGATTGATATGTTAGGTAGCGTTCGTTGTAGATTACTCTTCTCGTACTTTTTGTAATCACGAAATTCATATAAATACATTTAAAATTTAGTACTGACGTGTTATACATGCGAATATCTTAACACAAAGCTTTTACTACTACCTACGGAAGGACCACAACGAGGATAATATATATGTCAACAGCACAATCAGTTTCCACTCACCAGTAGCAGTTTTGACGGTTGCGCATACGACAGTTTTCGTCTCTGTTTTGTACTTCTTGTACTCTTCAGGATAAACGTTCGCGGCCACAGCAGTAGCTCCAATGGAACCGAAAATCAACTTCCGGAAAAACCCACGACGAGCAACGATCATGCCTACCAGACCACCGCTAAGAATCGCGATTCCTTTATAGCAATGAAACAAAGAAATGCATAGAATAGTGATTATAATAATTACTATATTACGAAGCGTAAAGTATAAATAACCGCACGACTTTTTTATATAAAACAAAGGGGATACCTATTTTTCAACGTGTGAACAGAACAGCTAGCAAGAGCATACGATTGCAGTTTACCTAGCGTGCGACGGATACGAGAATAGATTCTATGAGGTATAGAAATATTGGATCTATTGGGCATATGTAGCTATATTTTGCTTGGAACATTTTGGTAAATCATCCCCATATTTACAGCTGCTAGACCCTATGGCAAACTTGAATAATATATCGGTGGCTGGACCTAGTAAACTTTTAGACAACTGTGATGTAAAAAGTCTTAATAGGTCATCATTACCTCGAACAGTCGTGTTGCCTTCGCTGGACACATACTTCCAGGAGGATTTCGTATGAGCTACAGCAGTGTCGACAATCTCAACTCCACGATCACTCATTTGCTGTAGTCACCAAGAGGACATACGACGATGTATAACAAAAAAACCGTATTATATGTTACTTATAGTTTCCAAAATAATGATATTTTGATAATTAAATAACAAAGATTCCAGTTTAAATCGAATGAACGCGTATGTAAATAGAGGGCTATGTTTAGTAAACTATAAAAGGTTGTAGAAAAGGGTAGAATGAAGTTGAAAGTCGTTGGTGGAAAAAAATGTTTTTTGGTACGATTCACATGAATGGTTTAATGTATTCATGTATATATATATATATATATATATATATATATATATATATATATACTAAATTAATTTTAATATCTATTACCTGCTACAAAATGAAGGCAACGTTCAAAAACTTTAAGACGTAGAATTGGCTATGATTTATATACCGAACATCTCACCTTGGTAGTCATTCCGATCATGTTCAAGCAAAACCCATGTTTAGAATTAGATGTTATGCAATGATTTTACGTACTTCGACTAAAACAGAAAAACCAGCAAAATTATTTTTTACAGAAACAATGTATTTTTCCTTCTGGTGTTATCTTTACCTTAATAGCCATAAGTGTGGGCGTAACCGCAAGCCGAACTCCTTTAACAGCAGCCTCTAGCTGGCACGGAGTTGCTTCAATGACATCAAATTTTGAGGGACACTCCGGACAACCGTACAGCGGCAGCTGGTTCATCCCAGATGTGGATAAAAAGGAACAAGCAGCACACATATATAGACTTAATAAATGAATCCGTCTAGATTATTGACAGAAGATCGGTTTAGAAGACTGATGAATATACTATACATATTACAAAGAGTAATTCAGTTAAAATAAAAATAAAGAGCTAAGTTGGCTTCGAAAAAAATGTTATTATAAACTACTATGAATTCTGATTACATGTTCATATGTTATGATTATATATTAGCATGTCAGATCTGGAAAAGCTTTCCTGATCTATTAGAATTACAAATAAATAGCATACCTCCTGGGGTTTGAACATCTTTTTTCCAACGCAGCAAGGCTTGCATTTCTTCTCCGCTTCTGAAGCCTTGACCTTCGTTGCTTCTGCACACTGAGTCTTGAGCATCTTAAAAAATGTTCATCACAATATTGAAGGCACCTCGTCTATTCTATGGATTACTGACATGATAATGATTCCTTTTACATTTAAAAATGTCGCACCCATTACACGCGTTAAGTAAAAGACCCAGTATCGAATACATTATCTAACTAAATGAGAAATAATTTATAAAGTTACTTTTTATTATATGTAGAGGATGTAACAACCCAGAAGGGTCCGCTTAACCAATTTTTGGGCTCAGTCGTCACGAACTCAAGCGTTATAAAAAGCCCTTAACGTTCGAACTCCTATGCTATAAAAAACATTTGTCCTTTAGAGCTTACTTTCTGTTATGTAGTTGAAGATAGCTGATTAAATAGACTGAATATATTACAGCAATGAGGTAAGTAATAATTAGCCTATAGGTAATCAATAGTACTCTTAGACCTGATTTCAATTTCTATAAGAGTATTTACTTGAAATTTCCACATATTGTAGGTAAATGATTAAATGTCTTTTTAAAGAGATTATAATATGTATCGATTTTGCGAGAATATATTTGAATCGTCGTTAATGGTCATTAACTTGCCAGTTTTTTATTTTAGTTTTGAATTCAGTTGCAATGAATGATTGGCCTACTCCGGATCGGTGCTTCGTTTAGTTATTATTAGAGTTATCTGAATTCGTGTCGCAGAACTCGAACGTAAAGTAGGTCACCTCTATCGGTGGCCACACTATTTCAACAATTGATTATGTGGTAATGGTAACAAGATCTGAGAAAACACTTAAAAGATCCTACTTACAAGTAAGTAATGAAAATATGAGGTTCTTGTGCAAAGTTTTTGAAAAAAGCTTACCATGATAGGAGCCATGGCTATCTTGCAAAAAAACACCAGAACCGCACTATTCAGGACACACAAACCCAACAAAACACTTTCGTAGGGAGAGAGCGCAGAATATAAGCGGCGAATCTCGAACTCACATGGGGGCTTTTAAAGCAAATCTTAAGAAAGCTGCTGACCAAGAATTTTGCTTTGAAATGATTGATGTTTGATAAATTCTGTTCCGTGCATTAGTTGTAATACTATTCTGCAATTTAGAAGTCGTAGAACTTGTGATCATATTATGTAGTACATGTGCTTTAAGTAAGCAAAACTCCATAAATGGACTGTAATAATAATATGTATATGTTGCAAGGTTTGGCAATCCTATCCCAAAGGAGAACATATCAAGACTCGTAAGGATAAAGACCATTTTTCTGTGAACTAATAATTATTGCAAGCTTTTTTATTGTCAAGGAAGTCATTTTCGTAGCGGTCAAACCATTTGCTTAGCAGAAGTCGCGTTTTAGAATAGAACTCACAACACATTTTTTGCGGCGTGTTCTACAATAACAACTAATCACATTATTACTTTTTTATTTTGCACCTATTTTTGTCGTGATGATGTAGTGGTAACGTGCTATTTTGTACAGTTAGTGCACATCTAACTTATTTCTGATGTAGATGGCAATAGATACGATCTAAAGAAGTAGATATTATCTTAAAGTTTGTAACTATACGACACAGTAATTGTCGAAATCAAAACTGTATTCAACTAATTATAAAACCATTCATTTGAATTAATACAGGTGTTGTACTGGCAAGAAAAAAATTTAGCATGCTTAATTTATTGTAGTCAAAAAGCTGTGCTATCCACGCGAAGAAGTTAAGTAATCTCATCAATACGCGATTAAGTCATGTATAGCTAAATGCACCTATAACCAGCAAAACGAAGTAATACTAATAGGTAATGGAAAAATTGATTACTTATACCTCATTTTATGACAATCAATCAACATTGGTTTTTGTCAGGTTACGGATTACGTTTATGAAAATGTCAGTTTACGCACTTCATTTGCAACACTCTCACTCACCTTGGATGTTTCATCGAATTCGTTTTCAACTGAGCTTGCTCTTGATAAATATCTCTATACATACATTATTGTAATAAAACATTTGAATAAACTAAATCATTACATTATATATATGATAAAGCTATATATTTCTGTAATTGTGCTACTATTTCTTTTGTTTTTTCAAAAAAGTAATAGTCCGCATGGACTGCAGGTATTTGTATAGCTCTTCTTTTTTGTTATATTGTTTAGTTGGTTTTTAAATTTCAATTGGTGAAACATGTAGGACCACTTTGATCAACAAGCCACAACTCAAACAGATAACTTGAACTTGTTTAAGTATGTACGATCCATTTTAAATATATGATCTAAGTTTTACATTTCAACCGTTCTGATTATTCGTTTTCTCTCTAAATGAACCATCCGTGCTCCTTCTACTATTTTCTGTATTAATTGTCCTAGAATTATCACCATTGTTGTACATAAACGTTGCGCCATTTCTCTCAAATGGAAACTCAGTTTATAATCTGTACTCATTTGGCTAGAGTTAATTCTGCACGTTTCCTTTCAACAATTTATTGTTCTTGTTATGCCTCAAATGATGTTTCTTGCCCGGTACTAAGGCCACTAGTATTAAGGCATTAGTACACCACTATTAAGACATTTAAAAACAGTAAAAATTTAGGTTAAAAAAAACGCATTTGTAAAGCTTAACTGAAAATTCTGCTCGTTATTTATTTCCGTATAACGCTTTGTTCAGCATTATTATATCCTATCCAACTGAAAATTTGAATATATGTACACACGAATTATAATGAACCTATATAAAACCTGTTACTCGTCCATATCCTCGAACCGTCCTTGTTTGTTCGAGCGTTCCTCCTCAGCCTCCATTTTTCGTTTGTAGGCCGTCGAATCAGGATTATTTTCTTGATTTCGACACTTCTCCAGCTTTTTCTCAATTTCTATGATAATAAGTAATAATAATTAAGTAAAACTACAATTGTGTTTAGTAATATCTAACAAAATATTTCAATAGCTTCAACTATTTAAGGCAACAAATGTACCAAAAAATGTACGAACTTATGAAGGACTAGAAATTGCTAAAGTTGAAAAACTTTAAACAACGATTCAAAGAATCTTCTTCTGAAATCTGTGCAGTATAATTTATACGCCAATAAACATAATGTATACTGTAATAGTACACATATACCATATTTCATTAAGACCATAGTATGACATAAAGTCAGAAATAGAACTTTTGCGTTACCACGTATAACAAAATTAGCATAGTTCGGGACATCCATAAGCCTGGTAACGAGAACAGTATCAAAAAAATACATGTAAAGTCTATTTACGTTTTACTTGTTCTTTCGCAGGCATGTCTATCGCCTTTATCATCTGATGCATTTCCTTGCAAATCCTTCGTGCATGAGCCAGCTTTTCAGGAGGTGCATCCTGGAATAAGATCTTCAACAGTCGTGAAGTTTGACAGATGATTAGTTATACTTTGCAAAAAAGCTTGTCAGGCACGTAACTTAAGGATATCAATTAGATACAGCATTTTAAAAATATAGAATCAAATAAAAATACTGGCAATTTTACATTGAGATATTCGTTGCAATCGAATTGTGCCTTGTTGACAGCATACACGACGCCGGCCAATGCAATCTGACTCGGAGCGAACAGGAGGCTAGCATCTGTCAGAAGACTGCGATCCAGAAAATCATCCATAAGTGGACGTAGATTCTCTGCATCCTGTAATTAGTCCAAAGCAGATAAATAGTCAAAATATGACTATTTCCTGATACAAATAGGTACCGAGGATTATTATTTAATAATAGTTAATCGGTGCGTGACGATAACAGTGTTCAAAAACTTCGCTGACGAGTTGACAAAATAAGGGACGAAAGCGTGGTTGCTTATCTTCAGATAGTGTTATAATCGATAAGATGTATATGGAATTGAATGTTTATTAAGGAAGCGATATATACCGCAGCAAATGCGGTTTCACTTACCTGAATAATATGCTGCATCCTAGTTTTAATGTCAATCAGAAGTCCTTCTACTGGTCGATAAGGATTGTGCACAGTAAGATGGTAGCGAAGATGCTGCATCAAAAGCAACTCGTTTGAAAGAATTACATCTTGCGCTTTTTCCCTATCACCTAAAACAAATAGGAGCGAAACAATAAAAAAAAGTGTCCAGTGTCAAATTGAATGATTCCATCAACAAAATGTAATCTAGTTCAATTATTTTATTCGAAGCTAAAAGTAAATCCAACAGTTACCACAAATTATAAATTCTATACGGTGTCAAGATTTCTTAACAAATACAACATGTTTTATGTACGTGTAAAAATCACATTTACTTTTGTACCTTTGACATTATTGACAAATTGCGTGATTGATACGTTGAATTCTTCAACTTTGCAAGCTAGGTATACACATGTAACGATCATGTGCTTAGGATGAAGATCCATGACCGAATTACGCAGATAAAAGCGTTTGAAATAAGCTAACGAGGTGCCCATGACGGCTCTGTAAAAAAAATCACTTTCTTTGTCATATTATATAGTTATAGACTCATGTTATAACACGATTTATAATACACTGAAGATTATTTTCCATACAAAAAGTACTAGTTAATAAATGAAAGAATGATATACTTGGGTACAGGCGGTTGGAATTTTTTGCAAAATTCCCGAAGGAGGAATTCGTAGTGTCGGTACAGCATTCGCTCCTCTGAAGGGAGAAGGTAAGTATCGTAAATATCTTCTGTTGATGGTCGACCTACGCAAAAAGAGATAGAGCTTTTTTAAAGAACTGCATCTCCCCTATCTTACATCCCCTATCTCCCCTATACTTACATTATTCGACTTAGACAACAATTCAGCACTACACTTTGTGTTTCAAGATATTCAGAACTACTTTTTTTTTTGCTGTACGCGTCTCAAAAATATCACAAGAAACCAAGTATCTGATAATAAGATATTTATCTGCTTACATTCTTCCACTGCCGAAAAACTTACCATCTCTGGCAATTGTGTTTTGAATGTAATTTGTGTTAGATGCCTCTCTTAAATTCGCTAGCTCCCGTTCACTGCAGAACATCCAGTACTTTCGCTGCGTCGAGTGTGAGAACATCTTGTTGCTGTTAATTAATGAGTATTCTTGTTTACCTAGACAGTAGTTTCAACCATTACAAGTTACATCATTGATCGCTAGCCTCATCACTTCCAGAAATCATTGTTTTTTTGTTGTAAGAATTATTACTTCGTACCACTTCGAACTTTTATATCACAGTAGTTGATTCACTTGACACACGGATAACAACTTCGCACTGTCTTTTCTGGATGCATTGGTGTGGTAACACTAACTGTCCTTAAAGTTAGTATTAGCCGATGCAAGACAAATCAATGAGTGCCGGGAAGTGCATGAACGCAGACCGCTAGAATTTGTAATAACACCTGCTGCTTGACTCCACAGTTCTCTTCAGCAGGCCCTCGTGATACCCACACAAATGGGAGCGAACGGCAAGTGTCTGTTTACGTTCGGAAAAGGGTGCCACAATAGTATCAAGCACGTGCCACGATACCCTTTTAACAAAGGGTCAGTCAATTGCTTGAGAGGTGATTATGTGTGGAAAGTAACAGTACGTGAGTGGTGCCTTTCGTTAAACTAGAAACCCAATATTGTAATGTGCCTTTAACTGCCTGTAGCCGATTTGAGGGAATCTCAAGCAAATTGGTTTTTTCCTGATTTAAAAGGCTGTAATACATTCAACCGGTCCGCCAGAAACAAGTGTAAAATTTGTGGTTAATATATCTGTGCTGTACGTGTTCATAATGCGACATATCTTCTACTTTATTGTCGTAACAAAAAATGTTTACTTAATACAGTAGCTAAATACTAGACGCATACTTTTTTACAGTATTAATTTTTTAAAGAATTTTCGAACTGATGTATTATATCGGGACATTCAGTGTATAGTTATAAATATGCAAGAATCGAATAACATGTTGGGAATTTGCTGTAAATTTCATCGTGGTTGTATCAGAACTCGGTATAATAGAAATCAAAGTTAGTTTGACGCAATCTACTCGTCACCAAACACGCGTTTTGGTGGGTAATATCCACAAGAAAATAATAATTTTCTTTTAATCAATGTTTCAAATGATTTTTACTAATGACGGAAATGTGCAGAAAATATAGATCTCACATAAAAACATAATGTATATATATAGTCTGCACTGTTAACACTTGTGACAGTTTCTCTGTTGGTCCTACACTTTATATTTTAAGCTGTTAGATATTAGTTTATATTTTGCTTCTTCACTATAAAATGATGGTTATGGGTATATTGATCAGTAGTTAACTTAGTTACCTATATTTTGTTATGTGTATCCCTAATGTGACGTATAGTTACGATCACGACCTCAATAGGCTGACAAATGATACTGAGAGCCTTTTTGACGATTTCGTCATTGTACTTGTACGGTATACGAGAAATATACATAGTTTACTCATATACAATCCACGCATACTCATCATAAAACAAACACCAACGACAACGAACCACAACGTATCACAATAGTACCACCATGCTATATCACAATAGCGGTGTGCTCGTGAATTGGCTTCGGCGAGGAGGTGAGAGCTCCTCTCTGGTCGAATCGCAGGCTTTTCCATCATCGCAGGTTGTGTGATGAGTCCGTGTATGTGTGTGTTTTAAATTCGAATTCGCTGTAGAACGTTGAACATCTTTCTCCTTTTCTACGGAGCTCCCCGAATCGCTCTACTAGCGGCGCGTGAGTGACCGGCCTGGTTTGTTCGCGATAGCCGATTGACCGTTAGAAAGTGCGTCTCTTGTATGGGAACTTTTGGTAAAGTTCTTAATTTAACCTGGTTCGCAGCGTTCTGTGCACGCGACGAAAAAGAGTAACAATAATGGAACAACAAATTGTATTTGTAACGCATGACGGAGAGTACCAAGTACAGGACATTCAGCCAGGCGAAGATGGAACAGAATTGGTACACGTCGAGGAGGCCGAACCCGGTGTCCATATTGGAACTGCTGACGGCGTTCAGGAAGAAGAAGCATGCCATCAGGAAACGTTGAAAGAGATTACCGCTGAGCCCATGGATGATCTAAATCTCGAGTGTGAAGGTAGGTGAAGCACTGTGAAATACTCTTTCGGCATCGTAGTCTATGCGGAGAATAACTTTTAAAAAGTGTACAATCGTAGTAACAAACTGTATAACTTATTAACTGTATGAAATACTTAAATATACGATGCTGAAGATGACCGCTGTACCCTTCATTATTTAGTTGTTCCTGTGAAAATGTCAAAATCTACGTAAGACAACGCATAGTAGGGTAACAAGTGTTTAACCATTTTGTTTTCAAGGTCAATCCACACTGGTTTAGATTTTTTAATGCGGTTGATTTTAAGAGTACATGCATACGTACGGTTTCTAATTGCAATGATTATAAATTTTGAATTTTTTTTTTAAATGCCAAAGAATCATTGCCGAAATGTTATTTTTTTGTACCAGAACTCACCTTGGTAATGTTCATGTTACCACCTATTAGAAAATTTCGAGCTCGCTCAAAATGACCAATGGGGAATCGCTTATTTAGCTAAAAGATACAACTTAGTTGAACCAATCAGAACGCAGAGCCATTATGGCTCGCAATGTCTTAGTTTGTATTGCATGTTTATATAAGTCAAAACAAAGTGTGGATTTGTACGATAACTTGTACGATAATTTGTACGAAAGCGCCAAAAAAACTGCTGACGTCACAGTATTGGTTAATTACGGGTAAGTTCAGTCATGCAAAACCATATATTTCAAGGTTCTGAAATATTTCCCTTGGTAATAATATGTAAAAGTGTCTGAGCTATGTTGAGGAAATACGAGCGGTAAAAACATAGTAAACATGTGTAGTTGCCCATATTTAGTACAACTGTCAAAGGCTGGGGCAGAATGTCGTTTTACCATGGACTTAAGTTAGAGGATTGGGCTCATTGACCGTTTCTACGGAAACGGTTTAGTATGACAGTGTCGCTCACTGCACGGTAGAAAAGCTTGCCTAGAGTTTGCTGTAACTGAAACATATGAATGAATTTAATACATCGAAAGTAAAAAGGTACCTTGTTACAGCGGTCAAAGTTATATCAGTTTTATTGCTAATTAAATTGTAAATAAATTGTCATAAGTCATACTCGTCTAGAGTCTATTAGAATTAGGCGACAGAGAAAGCCGAGCGGGGATAGTAGTTTTTAGCAAAGAAACATTTTTTTAAGAAATGAACACGACTTCCTTTTCAGCTTGTACCTTTGCGTTTAATCGCGCATGAAGTTATATTTACAGCCTTTATTATTGTTGATTTGCACGAGTATACTTGGACTTATACTATCATTTTACACTTTGGTCACGCTCGTTCTTTCTTGATAAACGCGATACAGCCTGCATTGTATTTTGGTTAATCGTTGAATATATACAAAACTTGATTCACACGCTGTAAGGTATTAGACTACAAACATTAAAAATATGATACCTCTGTAGGCAACAACATAGACTGCATTTGACAGCTTTTTTACAATCTCCAACACGCGACACCTTATTTCGAAAACTGACGACGTAGATTTTTTGGTGGACATTTTCTGTGTATCATTCTCGCTTCATCATTTATTGCTTTAAGCTTTTAGAGCCGAATGCACTTTCCCGTCATCAGCTCATTACTTTTGTGGTTGCTATTAGCTGCGCGGAAAAAGGTGTTTGGAAAGGAGGGAAGAAGTGGCACAACGTAGTTGGAAGGAAACTATTAGGACGGCAAACGGTATTGTTTTTCGATATGGCACTGTTTTGGTATCGGTAAAATCGACTAGCAGTACAATAGAGAGGGAACAAACTCTTTTGATATGTTACCAAAGCGAAGAGGACGAATAGTTGTCGATGGAGTGTAGAAGTAGCTGAGCAGGTATTCCAAGTATCGCTGTTCGTGATAGGAACTCTAAGCGATTTTTTCTATACATAGTGCATAAAGAAATAATTGTCAAAGAAGTCGCTCTTACACCGTCGTTGTCACGATTACAGAGGAAGCATTGGAGGCGTCTCCTGCAAAGCTGATGGACCGGGCCCGCCTAGTCAATTACCCTATCCCTGATCCGCGCCAAAAGCGCCGCATGGATCGTGAGGGCAGTATGATGCTTGCAGAACTCGTCAACCTACCAACACCTGTCATTTTGGAAAAGTTACGACAACTAGAGAATCTCGCACACATTCTTGGACAGCAAGAGATGAACGAGCTTACTCGAGCCGAAGTCCTAAATATCCTCTGAGCAAAAATAGATACCCACATGAATGAGAGAATAAGCATACCAACAAATGTGGCTAACGCAAGGATGCTCTGCACAGCCACCATGGATGTTTGGTAATAGGCTAAATATGTCTTCGCTCAGTGACGAACAACAATCTCCGAGAAGTCGACATGTTAAGACTACAGTAGCCACTATTACTATTGTTTTTAGTAGTTTTTCAAACGATTTGTTTCAGCCAGCATTAGACAAACTCATCGCCTGTAAACGACTAGGTACACACTACGCGACTGAGTGTGACTTACCGTCGGGCCGAATGTGAACTATTCTATACAAACCACACATGCACACAGATAGCCACATAGTTCACGCGAAGCCCATACAACTACAAAACATACGTCTTCATACGCATTATTGTAAATCTTCTGTAAACTTCAAAGGGTTGGTCGTTGATAATCTGACCGGTTTGAGCAGGTCTAGTTAAATATGACACAACAACCAAAAAGGATCTGATTGGTGACGAATAGATTGTATACGTTTTGACAATGATAAATAGAATAGGAGAGCTGAGCAAGCTATGTTGCAAAAATGTTTTTTATAAGAACTATTACATGGGCGAAAGAAATAGACTCCTGGCATGCAAATCACAAAGAGGCCATTCCGATATACCCTATGCTTTAATGGAATAGTAGAAATATCTGAGCATAATTCGTTACTCAACAACGAATAATAACGTGTTTAAAGGAGATTGTGGTAAGGATACGGAGATAGGTGTATATGTTTATTAAGAGAGGCTAAAGAAGATGCAGCTACTGAGTCAACACTGGCAAACCTATTGCTAATAATAATAATGGTTATAATGAAGCATATATTTATGTTATCGTGGTTAACGGAAAATATAGAATTGTATTTGGTTAAAGTAAACTGTGATTGTACTATTTCAAACGAATCGATAGGTTCATTTTTGACTTCATTGCTGGTATAATTCTTGTTAATAGATATAAATTTGATAGATACTTGCGGTTCTCAAGAGCAACGAATAGGTGCAAGTTCAACTATAGCAAATAAGTTGAGCCCTTAGCTCTCTAAATTAGCGATAAGGTGTCTTTAAAGAATTTGGAATTGTTAGCGAATTCAGATCTTCTAGAGAATGCACTAGCAAGTATAATAAAAAATCGTTTCTAGCAAGGAGCCACATTTTGGGTCATCAAAAAGGCATTAATTTTTTTTTTACTTAAAATCAAAAGTTAGTAAAAGTTTTGATAACGTGTGGTATTTTGACTAGGATGCGCTCCGTGGAACATGTCTGGTAGCCTGTGGGCTAGAGAAACAAGGTGGAAAGAGATGGTTCGCAATATTTTCCTTATGCAGCCTAGACTATGGTATAAAATGTTGCTTGTTTTTTATTGCCATTAGGCACGTCAGTTAAAAGAACAGTAAAACTTACAATGTTAACAATGTTAAATAGTTACTAAGGGTCTGTTATCATATCTCTGGTAAAATAAGCACTCCAGCATAAAAAAAACTCAGAAAAATCGTTAATTTCAATTTAAAATGCCTAGAGGGCAAATTTAATCCGTATGGCTTGGCATGATAGAAATATTGACCTTGACTTGTCTCTGTTTGATACAAGTAGTCATATAATGAGCGTTGGTTGCTTTCGATTGCCACAGGCGTTTGTTACCTATTGAAGGACGTTTCGACGATGTTTAATTGAAGCTTACTAGCAGTATGATTACCGGCTTGTTGAGAGAAAAGCAGTCTGTGTGCTTGGTATAGAATATTGCATGTATATATATATATATACATGCAACATTCATTACGCTTGAATTCGCTATCTACTGGAGTGTTTGTTAGGCCATTGGACAGAATGCTCAATATCGTTAAAACTGTCTCCCTTGTTTCCAGAAAAACTTGTACCGCCTTTGCCCAAACAGATTGCCTATGCGCTAGTATAAAACCAATCGATTTTTGTAATGGTTCTTTATTGTTAATGTTTGTCTTAGGAGAGGTGGGAGCACTGACTTCCAGATTCTGGTTCACTTGGCGCGCTTTTTCAAGGCTAAAGTGACTAGTTATATAGGTGAAACCTGTTGTATAGTGACCAGACTAGCCGCTGCAATATCATTATTTCGCATTAAAGTAGTGAGCAAGAAATGCCGCAAGGTTTTTCTTCGCAAATGGAAAACAGTGATTCTATAATAAATTGTAGTTCTACTGTATTTTATAGACGCATATGCTCGTATCTAATAATATATGATACTTTGGACGGTTATGTAATGTCTCACGCGACATATACAATAATATAAACATTTTATTTAGATATCAATAGAGCAATGCTAGTCTATGTGAAGTATATGTAGAGACGAGCCTAACCTAAATACATATACAAAACAATTTTAAAGGTAAATATGCAGAAATATTCAGATGCACCCGAACCCGTTTTCAAACTAGACATTTTTATTGTCAAATGACCAACTATTTCTAAAAGAACCCAATTTCTAAAATTCTGAGGCGCCTGCAGCAGCTATAAGAACTTGTTTACGCGAATTCCATGCAGCACATGGTAATTAGTGATCGAAAGAAGATTCATGTTAGCAGAAAGTAATTGCTAATTTTTGTTCTATTTGAGACGAGATCTTAACACCTAGTTGCAGCTGTCCCTCTTTGCGCGTAGAGAAAGTATTATCTGACAACATTGATGTGATGAACATTTAACAACTGGAGTAGCATTTCGAAGCGTACGTATGCAATTTAACCGGTGAGCATGGGTAAAATATCTGGACAGCTTAACAGCAAACCTTTAACAATGAAAATGGCCGATTGTATTTCACAGTTTGTTACAACTGTGTTCATGCAGAAAATTTAATCCTGGTTAGCAGACAGGAAAGGCTTCCTGAAGTTAGACATTGCATACATAAACGGTCCAGTCACCTATGATGCAATTGCCATAGGAATTTTAAGTCAAAGAACTGCAACGGATAGGTTTAAAAAGGTGACGAACGATTTTATGCAGTTCTGAAATCTTTTGCCGCTAATCTTGAGAATGATTTAATTTCGTTAAATTGATTTCACATGTTTACATTTTGGGACTTTGACAAAGTTGTTTGGTGCGTCTGAAATTTTTCGTCACAAAGCTGTTCATATTTTTTTCATAGATTTTTGTATTTAGTATTGTGCTAACGTGACTACTATGTTATACTTTCAGTTGGAAGTCAAATAATTATTTGGAAAAAGAGATACACTTACGATCTTCAAAGACTACTACGTGACAGTGCTGACTACAAGTAAAAGAGACAGGAATGTCTCCAGACGACCTGGAATGTGTTGGTGCTCTTTTCACAGACCTCTGCGTTGATTCTGAAGTGGCTCGAATAAAAGGACTGCCCGACCCTTTACAGTTCTACAGAAGTTTTGTTAGTCCCAATCGGCCCGTCATAATAGAAGTACGAGTGGTTTAGTCTAATGCTAAAGAGAAATTGTTTTTTTCCTTTTTCATCCCATTGTCCACCTACCCCTTTAGCTGTTGGACACTAATTATTCTTATAAATCTGTTTATTTCAACTTTTATAGCACACTTTGAAAAGCAATGCATTTGTTTTGTTACCAGGGTGCTTGTGCCTCATGGCCAGCTCTTCGTCGATGGACCAATGAGTACCTAAAAACTCTAGATATGCTAATCACTGTTGCTATTACACCTGACGGCTGGACGGACGCTATCCGAGGCGGGAAGTTCTGTCTTCCATATGAGACCCAAATGTCTTTCGCAAACTTTATAGAAGCCATGGAAAAGGTGTGATTATAAGCGAGAAATGAGTGTTACGTTTAAACCTATCTGTATCCTTATCACTATCGTTTCCTATGTATTTCCTGTATCGTAAACCTATCGTTATCATTAACGTTTTGTATTGACAAATGGCGAGCTAAAGCATGATTCATTCGGACGAGTACTAATGTAACCACTGGGCATACAATTTCCGTGAACGTATTAGATTGAGTTTTAAAAACACAAACATGTGAGGAGTGCTTTAATGCTTTTGCCACGTATACCGCAACTACATCCCTAATAGGTTACATAAGGCTCATCATAGTTTGTTTTTCTTATGCACATGACAGCCTCGCTCGGATGAAGTTTTGTATATCCAAAAGCAGAATTCGAATCTAGAAGATGAATTCAGCTCTTTGTGGAATGACATCACGCCCGATTTGCGGGATTGGGGCTCACAAGTTTTCGGAGCAAATCCTGACGCCAGTAATTTCTGGATGGGCGACCATCGAGCCATTACCTCGATGCACAAGGACCATTATGAGAACCTTTATGCGGTTGTCAGGTAAGATGCAGACTACATTAGCTTTTTCTCTTTAAAGCCTATTTAGATATAATTTTCGTAACAGCGACTGGTAATTATACTAACAACTATATTTTATAGTACATATTAATTGATTTGATTATGTTTATGTATGTTGACCACGTAAACTACTATAGCCTTTTTATAGTTCACACACTGAATCACATTTCCTTTATTAACTTTCGCGCCATATTTAATATTCGATATATTTTAGAGGCTACAAGACGTTTACTCTATGTCCGCCTCACTCGATACTGCGAATACCGCATCGACTATGCAAAAACTTCATGCACCGACGTCACAATAACAATGATGGTATCCTTTCATCCGGGACCTCTTATAGCTGCTCCGGCAGCAATGAAACATCTCAAAAAAGCCAATGGACGTTAGAGGAAACACAAGGCGAAACCCTTTGGGTGGACGGCCGCCCTGGCGAATGGCCTGGTGTCCAATGCCTCAAAACAGTACTGAAGATGGGTGAGGTTATTTGCTTTGTAATTCAAACCAAATTGAACTGTTTGGCGAAGGCGACAATATGAATATTATAACAGGTTGTTTACAGCAGAGCTATATTATATAAAGTTAATGAAATGTAAAATTGAAGTAGAAGAAAAATGGCCTAAAAACTATAAGACAACGATAGAGTAATATAAAACAAAATATTCATATACCTGGCTCCCTAAGGATTATTAAAAATTACCTATTTTACGGTAGTTTAACAATACCCTGATCCTACAGTAAAAAGGGAATGACTCGTATGGCAATAATCACACAACAGTGCAACTTTTAGGCGTTGAAAACATTAAGTGCAAACGACTGAAACAATATTAAAGAAACCATTTTAAATATTTAAGTTATCCCATTATTTGTAAAAAAATGCGTGAAAAGTCCCTGGTTTTTCTTATCTGCCAGTTTGTCTTGAAAACCTGTCGTTAACCCTTATCGCTCCTTGGTGTGCAATATAAGCAGAAAAGCTAGAAAAGGACTAGAAGATTTTTCATCTATTACTGATGCTCTGCTTGAACCACATAGGTTAAGTAAATTTATCCAAGCTTTGCAAAGTTAATGCTTGCATTTCATTAGCCTCAAATATTTAGGAGTAGGCTTTCGTAGTGGTTCGTATATATTATACTACTATAGTTATATGGCAGTTATATAGTGCTATAGATATATGGTATTTTTATATTACCGAGCACTACTGACTTGACTAATTGAGTTTCTGAATTTTTATGTATTTCTAGGTGACGTTTTATACCTACCTTCGTTATGGTTTCACCAGGTTCAACAGTCACATCAAAGTATTGCTATTAATTTTTGGTTTGATATGAAATACGACCAGAGGTACTGCTATTTCAAGATGGGTGAACTACTGAATACAACAACTGCTCCATATACGCGGCAACACCTCTCTAAAGCAGGCCTGCATTAATAAATTAGCGATTAATCGGCCAGCTTTTACCAACGTTTATTGATGTTGCTTATCTATTTTCGACACGCTGTGATTCATCGGGTGTGCTGTACAATTAGGTCTTGGGGTAAATGGAAACACTCTTTGAATCGATGAGGTTCAAATACGATCACGCATTATTTAAAATAATTTCGGTTTGGGAAAGATTCAAATACATTTATAATAAAAGTAAATAGCATTTATGTGAGTTGCTCAACTAAGCAAGGATAATTAATACTGCAATATTTTAGGAGAATCCTATGATGATTGGCCTGTGTTTGTAGGTGAATAGGTTTGTAGGTTTATACTCTTAGTTTTGAATCGGGAAGGTGGCGTTAAAGGTATACGACAGGTTTCTTTAGTAAAAAGAAATTTCCAAGGTGACGAATTTTTTGTCACACTACTACAACGGAACAGCGAACCTGAATTTATATAGCAAAGTATATTTTCATAATTATCGACAAAAAAACATGATCTCGAATTTAACAAATAAGTCGAATTCTAGTGTATTAGTGGAACAGCTTTGGCAGAAATAAAAAGCCTGGGCTTGTCCTAGCAACTGAAGAGCTAATAACCGGATTCTTGGAAATAACGAAGTCCGCGAGTCCAACGTGGGTAGGTAAGTAACGACTCGTTCCGTGTATGGGGAGTCCATAACACATGGCAATGTGTTATGGCACCCCCATATGGCAAGCTCGATACATTCGACGCTAATTGAGCTTAATTGATATTGACACCGAGTCAAAGAGAAAACCCAGAGCTGTAAAGTACTTAAGCCGAACCCTTGATAGTGTAGACTAAACAAGTTTAAGCTTCGGATGCTTGAAGTATCTGTTTTCAAATGCATTCTTAAGCATTTACTGATATTTTAAATAAGCGTACGTATATTCATAAATGAGTGAGCTCTTGTTAATGTAACGATGAGCACAATTTTATGGAACGCCCTGCTTTAGTAGTTTTGTAGTACTGAGGAAATATGAAACATATGGGAACATGTTCGATAAGCAATTTTATTAATGTGCTGAAAGGCAAAAAGGATAACTCTATATTTAGACGAAAACAACAAATTTTATAGATTTTTATTGCAATTTTTTTTATTACACATGCAGCGAGAAGTCATTTCCATATTGGCACTGGCTGTTATACTCTAATAAATAAAATAAAAATTTAAACAGAAGAAGCAGTGGTAGTAGCACAGAACCGTAGAGATGAACTGTCATGCGAAAAATGAGTTTTACAACCATATACATCGAGGTGTATAATGCTGTGCTAGGTATATAAAAATGCTTAATCTTCTTTATTCGGCTTTTGGATATCAGTTGTTACACCAGAAACAATGTAGGCGGACCCTCTAATTCCGGAATCTCAGAAATAAGAGAATATCGATTTTCTATCATAGGACAAGCTTATGTTACTACAATTAAGGCCCCAATTGGTCTATAGGGAGGGTTATTTAATCTATATTTTGTATAGATTAGGATAGGTCTAATTGTTGTCGTAAAACTTGCTGTATAATATATACTACTAAAATATATACTAACGTATAACGCAGGAAGCCAAGCGTACGATGCAACCTTTAATGGCAGTACTGTAATTCCGGAATCATTTACATGATGGCGCGCCTGAGTTGAGACTTTGATCCTTAAGACTATTAAGTCAAACAAATATGTCATCCTTGACGGTCATGTTTATTTATTATAACCACCATTTACTGAGATTGCAGTTTCGATTTGGGCCCTAAGTTGCTTAAAGGGTCATTTCGAATGTTTTCTTGGCGATTCTGCGAACGCTTCTTTGACAAAGGCGGTAGTAAGCCAGTCGACGTTGTCATGTAAAGTCTTGTCAAACGTTTCAATAATGCCACTACACCTTCAATTGGGGTCTTAAAACTTTATCATTTTCAATATATATTTTTTTTTTATAACTTTTTAATTGTAACCACGCGTCGCTCGATATTGGTATATGTAAATTAATCAAATGTCACGAAACACGCCACATATAAAGAATATCAGAAGGATATAATTTCGGGCTGGTCTTTCCAAAATGCATAAGCCCAGAACAGCCCAAAAACTTGAAGGGGCGAATTGTTAAAGCTTAATTGGATTTAATTGGCGACTGTCATTCTCCCGTCTAAAGCGGCAGTCGATTTTCTTTTTCGAAACCCTAAATCTATTAGTAATAACGCTTTGGGCCATGTTGGTTAATTTGTGAGCTCCTTAGATCTAAATTCTATTGAGAATCTTCCAGTTTGCTTTCTGCAAATCTTCGGCAGATTTTCCGCATGAAAGCTAGAAATAACTTAAACTGTCGATTTCGGTAATAAGAGAAAATTATTAATCTCGGTGGGAGTTCGTTTAGCAAAGAATGATTGGATAATTGATTTCTCTCAAATTGCGAAAACAGCACACTGTGGTCGTTGTTGCTTTATTTTAGTAAAAATTAGTTTCATTCTGGTGCCAGGAATAGAGACGAGGGTATGCTCGTTAGGATAAAAAGCCTATCAAAGCATTTCTCAGTTTGAACGCATTACCTAGTATTACATGCGGTCCATGCAGATTTTCATACGCAAGGCATTGAACGACACCAACAAACCAAGCTAAAGCATTCAGGCTGGTGAACCCTTTACAGCGCATGTGGGAAAACTACAACTAGCTTAGTCTTTTTCCTCCGTCAGCCTGACGTTATTTCAGGCACTGCAACAAATGCATTTCCGTGTTGTCACCTACATTTATGTTTTGCTTATGCTATTTAATAGAGCAGCACCGGAAAGGTGTCATCTATTTTTGTACGCACGTTAATATGATGAAAGGCCATATTTGCTTTGTATCACTCTTTACTAGATTAAGTTATGCTTAAAGCAACTCGGCTGACTTGCCAGTTTCTGCCTAAGGCAATCCAAAAAAGATTAAGTTTCGTTCCTAAACAAAATCTTCGTCAAATAAGCAATATCACAAAGCATTATCAAAGTACTACTCTGCGGTTACGTACAATCTACGCACAGAGGTATCACATTATTCAATTTGGTGCTTCATTATATACAATAATAATATACAGACAAAATATAACCTCCGCTTTTAATGAAGACATTTAGCTGTGGCTATCGGGGTCAATCGACACTGCAGAATAATATGCTGTGTGAAAATGTGATCTGTTAAGCAATCGGCGGTTAAGCTGTAGTTCATTATTGAGAGGAATTACTAAATGGTACGAATCCAGTGTTCACTTTTCACACTTCATACAAGACCCAAGTCGTCTTAAGACCGTGTATCTTGATGATAGTCCGAGATACTATGATAGTAGGTCACAGGTTGCTTCGGCGCCTTAGCTTGCAAAAGTAAGGCGCGGGCATGGTAAGGAGCAGAACTGAATTTTTTTGCACCTTCCATCGTTTTTTTGTCAGAAAGGTTCATTTTTATGTAGTAATATAGCTAGTTCTGCTGTTTGTGCATGCGATTCGTTCAAGTAATGATATATATATCATGTATATGCTTAACAAAAAAATAAACGAAGGCCATACAATCTGGTTAGTAACTCGAGCAATATAGCTTGTTTGTAGTGCCACGTAATGTTGCTTTAAATGGGACTATTTTCGTTTCGTAAACCATGTTTTCGTTATGCCTTCATCTTTATCATGCATAGCTACAGTCGCAAACATGCAATGTATAGCTAGCTGGGAAATTTGCAAAGGTAGTATGATATCGAAGGCTGTGTTGTATGCACGTTGAAAAAGAATGGTCGATTCATAGTAGAAATAAACACCGATGAACAAAACGGACTTCAGCGATGATGTTTTTGAGTTGCCCAAAAAATACGATTGATTAATCAATCATTGCAAGACTTTGTACGCAAAGGTGATTCGGACGTCTAAACTAATAAAGAATGAATAACAATTGTATCAAATATGTCACGCGCTGTCATATCATAACGCGGATCGATGAAATGTAGCTGGCACGTACAGCAGACTTCCACGCCATATTTTGGTTTACAATGGTTTTCGGTTCGATTAATTGCGGCGGTCTCCGTCCTATTTGTCCCGTTTTATTTCTTCGATCGTTGCCCATAGATATAATAAAAAATTCGATCGCTTCTAATACATGCTAGTTTTTACAAAATCTAATGGAATGTTCTACATGACGCGTACGCACGACCCACCGATTGGTAATGTAATGATTAATACAAATAGGATCCCCAGTCCCAAAAGTGCGTTGGTATAAACGTCCTTTTTCTGCCATAATTCTACTTTAGAGTATCTCAATACTTACTGGCTGTATACAATCACCTATAACACTTCATACTTGTCGAATCTTCTTTCGAAGAAACGCTTCTCTCTTCAAACACTCCGCTGAATAATATTTAAGCTTATGCTATATGCTTTTAAAACTAAGGTTTGTAAAATGACAGTAGTAGTACTTTAGCACTTAACAGTGGAACGTGTTTGATAATCACTCTAGGGTAGCTATCCACCATATGAATTGGTTGCTTCGAAGGGTAGATAATTTTTCTGCATAATTTCCTTACAGAACATAATTGCATTAATATAAGGTACAATGACCATGTCGCAGCATATATTTTCCCGCGCACAGGAGCTTTAGCTTTTTAAGCTAGCATCTCTAGTACGGGCACTATACTTCACGGTTTGAAAAAGCGCTCTTCAATCTCACTTTTGTATGCAAAAATATACAACGTTTCCCGGTATGAGTTTTATAAGGATTATAAACGTTACTGTTCGTCTATGCCAGCATTAAGCGCCTCATATGTTCCGTACGTTTGGACTAGTTGCCTAGTGTTCGAATCCGGCCTAATTGTTTGAAAATTGTGCTATCTTGCCGTCATTTGACATTGCCACAACTCTGATCGACACACTCGAGCCTGACATATCACAGTCGATATTTTCCAAAGGAGCATCTAACTAAGAAATCCAAACGCGCTATGGTGAAGGTGCGCTGAATTATTTCTGCGCCTGATATAAAAGTACTAAACGTTAGCAGACGATGGATTGCTTTCGATGTGCTTCCAGATAAGTAAAATTGATCGCACAATGCGTTCATTAAGTCTGTTCATAGAGAATACGACGACGATGTGACAGTCACTGTAATGAAACTTGAATGCCAATGTTCGTTACTGTCACATTGTCGTCGTTTCACCCTGTGTTAGATGCTAAGTTACTAGAGTGCACCTTCATCACGGTGAGGTTTGCTTTTTCAGTTAGATGCTCACATGTCTTACCCCTCGGAAAACATTGACTGTGATATGTCAGGTTCGAATGTGTCGGTTAGGGTTGTGGCTATGTCAAATGACTGCAAAATAGCACAGTTTTCAAAAAATCAATCCCCCTCTACGTTTACTTTAAATAACCCAGCTTGCGATTCAGCGGCGGACTTGAGTAAGAGCAAATCTCTAGATTCCTATTCGTCGAGTTTGAGAACGCAACCTCCAGGTGATGAAGAGTGCAGTCTATCCATCATATACGGAAACGAAGCTCAGTACGTGGCAGAGGCAAGTCATCTTCCCCAGTTGCCCGAGGGACACACACATCGCTGGACAGTTTACGTCCGAGCGTACAAAGAGTATGAGACAGCTGCGCTGGCGAAGATCATCCGGAAGGTAATGCACAACATTTAATTTTGCATATTGCTCGTCAGAGATGTGGTTCGAAGAAGCATCACAGCGGCCGCGAAGTTCGATACAACCAATTTAATTTATCACATTTTACTAGTATAACTGAGAAACGGTGCATAGATGACCAGGTCGGTCGTTGGTCCATAAACGCTTTTATATACGTGCTCACCTAAAAGAGTGCAAATATTGACATCGGCAAAATTAATACTATTCTTATGGTGACAATAGTTTTTGAATATATTTATATATCAAAATGGCAGGTTTATGTCTAATATTTTTTCATACATCACCTCGTTAGCTTGCGCTTTCAGATTGTGTTCGTGTTGGAGCCACACTATAGGAACGAGTCAGTAAGTAATCCGCCCTTCATGGTGAGCCGTACCGGTTGGGGCGAATTCGCTGTCAAAATTCGAATATACTTCCATGATTCGCTCGCCACGAAGCCTCTGGTCCTGTCGCACGACCTACGACTAGTGGCCTACCACACTCCGGAACAAAGTGGGCACCACAGCGCGGATGACTGGTCGTACGTGCCTTTTGTCCGCGAAGAAAAATACGATGAGATCGTCGTCTTCAGACCGCTACCTCAGCAGAAAGCTCTGTTTGACGGCACCGATGGCCAGGTTTCGAAGGCAAGCGCAAGCGCAAGCGCATTGCAGGAAGGCCCCAGAGGCGACTGTAAATCGAATCACCACGAAGTATCCAGAACGAAAGCGCTAAAAACGATACTTCATGCAAAAAAGGTTAGTCGGGTAGCTATGCATATTGTTATAACGTAAAGAGATAAAGAGTCCAATGATGGAGGCAACTGAGCCTTATCTCTACGCCTAATGCAATGATGTCACTTATTTTTTTTTAAGGTAATTAATGCACGTTTGGGTGATGTGAGAGCGCGGCTAATTGCCAATCGGGGATGTACCACCTACCGCCCACTGCTGCAGCCTATAGGTTTCGCACCTCTCAAGGGCGGTGATACTCCTAAAAAACGAGCTGGCAGACCGAAGAAAGGAATCGAGCGAATATACGAATTTGTCGAAAATAAATCTGACAGGGATCATTCCAGTGACGGTTTTATAAGTGAACACAAGTTCGCCAGCGAAAGCAAGGAACAAACGCAACCATTGAACGACAGAAATTTACTGAACGGAGCCGTATAAGAGAAACGGAGCCGGTGAAGGACTATGTCTATCAGTGATGACTCCTTGCGCGTGATCGCGGGCTGTGTGAAACGAAAATCCGTAGCAACGAATAGGAATAAATTATTGCCAGCCCTAGAGAAGCGAATACAACAACCTGGTACAATCTGAAGTATCTATTTAAATTAATGTACGTTCCTTATTTTAACAAAGTTGCCATAATATTGTCAGTATTCGATGTCGTATCGGAAGCTTCTCAGGAAGTGTTCGTTATTTAATGCAATTCTGCGACTTCCGTTCTTGTTACTGTAGGCGTGCACTAACCGTTAAATATAATTGAGATCTCATTTTCTAGTATGCATGGCACCGAAGGTGAACTTGTATTTCAGCCAAATATCGTTCAATAAAGAAGCAACGATGAAGTCAGCAATTGCGTCGTGCTCTTTTTTTAAAAAGAGTCCGCTTGAATGAAAAGCTTCTTCGCTGACGTTTCCCTTGTTTCAAGGTGGCCATCTGTATTCGTTGTGCAGACAGGACATGGTATCGCAATCTATCTGGCTACCTCAATATTTTAAAGTACGTAGCTGTACGCTAGGCTATGACACGCAAAGGTTTAATATCGAACTCCGTACGTGAGGTATTTCGGAATGCGACTGGCCCATTATTTATGAAAATGAACGCGGTTTTCCATCTCATACAAAACCTTAAACTTTTTTGCTTCCTCTTATTTCACTTGGTCGTGGGGTTTTCACCCGTTCAACGATCTGCCGTATCCCACGCCTCTTCCGCCCGTCCGCAAGAACTTTTTTTCGTGTAGCAACTTCGCGAACTTTTGCGACGAAACAAAAAGCTCCGACGCCTTCATTCTTATAATGGCTCTTGAGAATCTCATGTGTTTTCTGCTTGTCATGGAATTTAATCTTCGTTTCGGTCATTCTTGACCTTCTTTGAACGGTAACAACAACGTGATTGTATGCAGAGTCCAGATAAGTGGGTCGCTTACGCGAAACGAATGTCCCTGTCTGTTCGGTAAGGCATCGTATTTTATATGTATACGAAATATAGCAATTTTAGTCAAAGCGGCTATAGATAATACGCTGACGTAAGGAATGCCAATCGCATTAGGGCTACCGGCTGGTGTTAGTAAACGAATGAACCCTTCGGTCAAGATACCGCAAAGTACATTAGCACTACCAGGTATAGCCAATGAAATTGAAAGTGAAGTAAGTCGTCAGAGTCTCGACGCACATGTCTAAATCGTGGAGAGGTACTTTTTTTTTCACCACTATTAAAGTTAACTGCGTAAGCTTCATAATACTGCTACAATTTTCCTAGGTGACCGCCTTTTTTAATTTACCCGAAGACTCGAAAGGCATTTGCCGGAATTTAAATTTAATAAAGAAAACAGAAATTGTCACAAAACCATAATAAAATATTGCAAAGGTTTTTTAGAAAGCTGGAATTCGAAAACAAATAGTATTTACTCAAGAATGCTGCCAAACTCGTACAACAGACGCGAAAAAAACTGCAATTTGAGTAGCGGTTCCCGTAAAGTTCCTTAACTGATATCTGGGCATTTAAATATCGTTTACGTTCGTAAGTGAAAACAAGTTATTGACACGTGTTTACTAGAATGTATCACATTTTAGATTAGGTACTTCGGCATCGTTGTAAATAGTTTTGGATATTGGCGCAGGCCCTTTGTTTTTATTTATTACTTGTTTTGTGCCACTGTAGCAATGTGTTTTATTTAGATTCGAGCTGAATTAAACCAGTTGTAGACCGGCTATTCCTATAATGCTTAGGTGTACCTTTGCACAAGGCTAATCTATTAAAAAGCTAAAATAATAGCGCCTGACCAAAATTATTACATATAATCTATATGTGAGAGGTCGATAGATCAATTGGCTGCAGCGTAATACGGCCCGTTCACCAGCCCTGGTTCTATTCGATATTAAACGACAGTAAATTAAAACGTTCGTTTTCTTCTTCATCGCGGATATTTAAAAAAAAATAACTTCTTTTGGGCCCCATTTGGGTGAGCCTTCGATGATAGGCACCGGAGAGCTTCTTGGAAACTGGGCTCTTTTTCGTTCACTAGCAGCAGCAGCAACACTAACTCACACGAGCCAAAGAGGGGCTACGAGCGTTCGAAAGACATTGTGTTTACTCGTTTCCCCATCGAACACAACGATCTCCCCCCGACGACCCGTTTCAAAGCCTATCTAAATATATTCGCTATCTAAATATATTTTCCACCTCCAAGCTCTTTCTTTTTTTATCTGGATATTCCATCAGAACCCAATCGGCAACGGCAGAACGTTGAAAGCAGTAACAGCGACAAGCAGCAGCGGCAGCTCTTTCTCTCGAGATCTTTCCTTACAAAAACGCAAACGAACCGCTCAGCCCGCGCGAGATGAGCAAACGGCCACCACACGACGATGGGAACGATTACTTGTGCTGCCCACGGCTACAAAATAGAACGCGCCCATCAGCCGCTATCCGATCGAGGAATAATCTCTTTCCGGCTGGAAGATCTTTAGAAGGTGCGACGACGAATACTTGCGAACGTTTCGATGACTTATACGTACCAAACGAATATAGTCGATAATTACTAGCCTAGGAAAGGCATGGCTCACCATGTAACTGACCTGCTATATTGACGAAACGTCAAAAACAATGGTTATAAATAGCTATTATTCTATTTAAATTAGCGGGACGACGTAAACTCCTGAGGCTCGGTTCATTTTTCAAGAGACATGTTGCATTGAAATCACATAAGGAGCGATACTTTTCCGCAACCGCCGTTCTGCCAGAAAATGAGCCCGCACTAAATTCATTAGATTTTTTGAAACTACTTTCAACAGGTATCCATACGTAGTCACGGCATATTCATATATCACTATGTGAGTTCAAGAAATCTGGTTGAAAAAGTACTGGCACATACTGTTGAAATCTCGTCACAGCGGTCCAAGCCCTATACTACTCGATATTGCCAAAAAAAGCTAAACAAATATGAAGAACATTTGCATATATCCTGGTAATTTTTTAGTGTTACACGTTCCTGCCAAACTCCAAGAAGCTCGGACGCTTGTCTAGCTTGAATAAATACATTATTATAAGAAAAAGCTCGAACAATTCACTCTACGGATATACACATGATAAACCGTATCATATTATAGCAAAACACAGAGGATGTACTCATCAGTGTTTATATTGTCTGCTCATATTGTATCCATGCAATTTAAGTAATGTGTTGCCTTTACGGACTTCGAATGGTACGCGTTTGCCTAATACAAGCGGGTGCCGTTTTATAGACCGAGTCCATATACGACCTTTGACTAAAAACAAAAAATGATTCTCGACAACCTTAAACGGCTATAACAAACAAGAATGATAACGGGCCTTCTATGTAAATTCGAAAAGTAAGTCCATTACACATTAAATTGTTGGATCGTCTCAAACGGGTGATGGCCCATATTACATATTCGAACAGTTTAAAAAGCTACGCTGTAGTGAAACAACGGAAAGCAGCTATTTCTGAGCGTTTCATCTTCTGATTTGCCTCGCGTTCAAAGGAAAATTAATATTTGAAATCATTCGGGCATGTAAACCCCGTGGGTCTTTATCTACCATTTCGCTATAATAAGCAAACACTAGCTTTCCTTTGCCATCACACTGTAGATGAAATGGAGCTTGCTTCAGAAGTTAAAGGAGCAAAATTTTAGGTTTTTGGATATACAGGTAAAAGCCGGTTGTTTCATAAAATGCTTTTGCAACTCATGGGGATATATAAGGCGGGTATTATTTGGTTCGATAATATTAATAATACTGTAGAACATGTCTTCTTTCAAGTGTATTGTTCCACCAGTGGGTCTATCACAGTCCGCAGGATCGTTTCGGTTACTATAAGCAAGTGCGGGCGTCGTGTTTCTGTTTTTTGTGTGGGTGTCCATTTTTTTCGGGTTATACAGTTTCAATAACTTACGGTTCTGTAGTTCGTCCCGTGTCTAAGCACAATATTGTCGGCAGCCTTAGGTTGCTTTGTCTAGAACAAAATTCAATATGATCCACGTAAGCCAAATTCTGAATAGTTGTAAACTAATATATATGGGTCTAGTTGGGTGAAATTAAGCATCTTACAGATTTCATCGAACCTTAATATATTCTTGTTGACGTTTTCACCGTTCATGAACATTAAATTTGTATTCTGCCGCCTGTTTTCCTCCATCGCATTGGTTTGACGTAAGCCATCGATGAGGAACTGTCGTTGGCGATTTTTGTGCATTGGCCGTTCTTGTTGGCTCGTATATTAGAACACTCCTCGGACACGCTGGATACGCAGTTTGATCCATTTGATTTTTTTTTTGCTGTATTTATATGTTGATTCGGTAACCTGAACGACAATATCTTGCCGGCTAATTCGTGTTCCAACTTAAATTAAAAAAACGATAGCAAGCAATATACAGAACATTGTGACCAAAACCCCAGCGACCAAATATCTATGAAGGACATTGGCATTCTGGAGGCGATATGAATGCTGCCAAAAACGACGCCTAGATGATAGCTCTATAGGGAATCAAACGGCTTACAAGTAACACACAATGGAACGCGATTTAATCAATCATTCTAGTAAAACAGCTTGATAAAAGGAAAAATATAATAAGCACTCGCGCGGATAGATTAGACGGCCCGTGACCGCTACCGTATTGTGAGCACTCTATTTATTTGCTAAAAAGTCGTCTTTCGAATAACTGGAACGTTTGTAATGTTTAAGCTGAACTGCAAAACAACTGTCGTAAGTTTAAATGTAAGCAAACTTAATTTCACATGCAATTTGTCCATAGTTTTATAAATATATGTAACTTAACTGTAGAACGCTTTAAATATTTATGTACTCGAATAGAACATATGCTGTAGGGAAGACCCAGGACACTGTTCATGGATACTTAAGTACACTACTACTAGAACTACTTACAGAGATTTACGGTAGAACTTGACAATTTTCTTTTCAGGGCGCCTGCACAATAGTCTTCACCGGTAAAGATACTACTAGTAACTGATCTCATTACGAATTAACAGACTGAGCTTATCGTTCAGCTTTGTATAATGTCATTTAGCCATATACCAACTGATTGATAGCCTGTTTCAGTTCAGATCAACTTTCCCTGTCATTGGCCGCTAAGCTTTCGCCTAAAGTTGTTAGTTCCTTCTCAAACGAATGATCGACGTTATTTGTCTTCTTCAAACCCTCGCTACCACTGTCACGGAGCAACTTGTCACCTACCGCAGGCAGCTGTCCTGTGAAAAACCATTTATACGGAATTAAGCTAAGGGCTAAAACAAGCAGACGTTTGCCCCTCCTCCTCCTCCCAAGAAAAACAATCTTATTTTATTTTCTAAATTAGAATCATTATAGGAAGAAGTCGAATTTCTATTTCTAAAATGTTCAGTTTCATAAGTAGACGTCACCTTACAGCTGAATAAGAAGGATACGTTGAAAACGAAAAATTGGTATCGTCCTACGGCGATTGATAATTACCGCCGCGTATGCTGATTTTAAACAGTCGATATCTTTAATTATTATAAAATTAATGTTTATTATTTTTATTAGACGAATATAATGTCATAAAGACATAATATGATTAATGGAGAATAAGATATTATACACGGTGAGCCATTTAAAAGTGGCAATCATGCGTATGCTGAGTCATTAGAAGAAACGACCGCATGATATTAGGAGCATGACTGTTTTCATCGATCTACTGTATCGTCATAACCAAGGGTCTAGCAGACGAGTTAATAAAACTCGTGGGCGGGGTACCGACTGGTAATATGTGGGTTCCCTTCCCTAACATTTTCACAAACAACATTTATATTGCTCCTATTTGCTAAAACGTGTACGTCTTTGAACTGACGATATAACGCTGTCCCATGGATCTTTGTTTCAATTTCTCGCATATTAGCCATGTAGCTAATGGGTAAGTTTATTTTTGGACGACGTACAGCATGCACGGATGCGTCCTAGACGGCCGGGCGTCATACGGTTAATATCACGAAGCTTCCTTAGCGTTAAATGCTCTCAGGTTGGTGGCATTTTGGAATCTGGAAAACGAAATAAGGAAGCGCTGTATAAGGAAAGCTTGATTGGCTCTGTGCATCCAGTGTTTATGTTGTTCGAAGTACTGACCGGTAGGAGTGCATGCCATTTTTTTAAATGGATGAGAGCTTTAACATTCTTATCTGCCTTATTCGTAATTATATTGACGCAAGAAATGATCCTGCGTTGCGGAACTTCATCGCATCAGTTTATTGCATACCCATTTCGACAGCCGATCTATTAACATAAGCCTGGAAGCCAATCAAAATCTGCCGAATATGGCAGTGACTGCTACTGGTTAGGGTGAAATTACCCGTGCGTGGGTAGACATTAACTTAAGTTATACGTTATTCAATTTTCTTTAGCAGATCAATAAAGGCTGCGGTGAAATGTATGTTCATTTGTCAAATATACATACAGACAGCTGTATAACAGAAAAAAAATACAATACAAACGGAAGTAGTTAACTTTTTTGTGAAAAAATGAACAACTTTAAATCTCAACAGTGATAAAGTTGGCATCTTATGCTTTACGTTAAGAAGATACTATTTCAAATACATTCAATCAAGACTCCGTGCTGAGCTC